AACTAACTTTGTGACCTTGGATGGGTTACTTTACCTTCTTGAATCTCATTTTCCTATTATGCAAGGTGAAGGTTTTAGACTACATAGTTCAAAGACCACTTCAGTAGTAATGTTCTAAGCCTCTCTGATTCTAAAACTGTTTATGGTGGCCACTACAAAGCAGAAGTCATCAACTTGCTTTTATTCCTTGAATTCTTTGTTTTCCATCGATTTGTTAATACCTTTTAAAGAAATTAGATACCTGTTAAACTCAGTGGAAGTATTTGTTTAATGGCATGATATCTTTGCTAAGATGCAAGGCTTGCTTTCTTTCAAAAGAAAAGTGTTTTTCCTGATTCTGTGCTCATTGTTAACGAATTGGGGGAAAATCTATAAGGAAAAAAAAATCATCCCCAAATTTTCTTTGTTTTATATATGTATATATATACATGCACATATATCTTCTATACATATCCATTATATAATTTTGTGTCCTTTTTCCACTTAAGATTAAAAAGTGAGTATTTCCCAATTATTACGACCATTTTTAATAGTATCATCTTATTATATTGTGTGGCTATTATATGGAGCCTCTGTTTACCTCTTCATCTTTGCCTTTTAAAAAACATATTCTTGGGCTGGCCTGGTGGCATAGTGGTTAAGTTCATGCACTCCACTTTGGCTGCCCCAGCTTGCAGGTTCAGATCCTGGGTGCAGACCTGCACACCGCTCATCAAGCCATGCTGTGGCAGCGTCCCACATACAATAATGCAGGAAGATTGTCACAGATATTAGCTCGGGGATGATCTTCCTCATGCAAAAAGAGGAAGATTGGCGATAGATGTTAGCTCAGGGACATTCTTTCTCACCAAAATATATATATTTTTTTCTTTCCCTTTATTTGTTAGTTTTCAAAGCAGTATGTTGGTATCTTAGCATCCCCCAGAGGTGAATGTGAGGTTTTTAAAATTTTTATTTGTACTCCTTACCTCTGCCTGCACATGCCTCCATCTTTGCCTCTGTCTTTCCTCCTGCTCCTACTTCTTTCCCCTCTGTGAACCTCTGCCTCACCTGCCCCCAACCTCTAGCTATTTCTTCACCTACATTTCATCTGCTTTCTCTCCACTGGCTCTTTTTTCTCAGCCCATAAACGTGCTGTAGGCTGCCAATCTTTAAAAAAAACAAACAGAAAACCCAAAATACCTCTTGGTGTATGTTCTCCTCTAATTTTTTGAAAGAGTAGACTATATTTGTTGTCCCCACTCTCTTACCTCTCCTCTCAGTCTACTGCGATCTCTTTTTTGCCCTCATAATTCTTTCAAACACTGACCAGTAAGCTCACCAGTATCCTGATTGCCAAATATTGCAGCCACTCTTGAGACCTTGTCCTATGTGCTCTCTCTGCCTCCTCTCACATACTGTTCAGTCTTCCTTTTAAAAATAATTCACTGTTTAGTTTCAAAAATAATGTTTATTTTAGAAAATTTAAAAGTAAATAAATCACTATTAATAGTTTGATGTGTTAGATTATTCTTCTTGGCATGCTCTCATCCCTTCATTTCCATGAAACAATTTTCTCCTGTTATATTTTTTTTCCTTTCTCTTGCTGTTCCTCAGTTTATTTGGTAAACTTTCTTCCTCCACCTGTCCTTTAAATAGTGGTGTTCTCCAGTGTTCTGTCCTTGGCTTTATATTCTTCTAACTATACCTTCTTCTTTGCTATTTTTATAATGGCCTTTTTAAAGTAAAGTTAATACATGTGCATATACATACATCCACATATTTGCATACACACAGTAAAAAGGGTACATGTTAAATTTCAAAGCCTGTAATTTTCACAATAAGTAATTTCTTGCCATTTTTCCTCTGCAGAATCAACCCCTGGTGTATGCTTCTAGAGAGATTATGTGCATATCCTGGTACATGTATTTTATATATTTACTTATGTAATTATTATTTTAAAATTATTTCTATTTATTCTTCATACCGATTTGCATCTTTTTCTACCTAACAGTATGTAGGAGATCATTTCATATCAGGATATAGACATCTATTACATTCTTTTTAGTGGATGCATAGCATTTTTTCATTTGTATCTTTTCCCCCCACTGCACAACATTTTATTTTGAAAGAATTCAAACTTATAAAAAGGTTTAGAAAACAGAACAATTAACATTGACCTGTATACCTACCTAGCTACCTCTCTTTCTTCCTTTCTCTATTTCCTTTTTTTGCTGAATCATTTGAAAGTAACATTATGGGTATCCTGACAGTTTGTTCCAAAAATATTAGATATGTATGTCTTAAGGACTGAGACATTCTCCTACATAATCACAATACCTTTATTACACCAAAGAAATTTAAGATCAGTGCAGTATTATCTAACATAAAATCTGTATTTGGATTTCCATAATTGACCCCAAATATCCTTTATAGTGCTTTTTTCTCTCTCCATTCTAGGAGCCAGTCAAGAATTAAGACTTGCAGTTGGTTTCTTTCATTTAACTGCTATTGAAATAGATAACTACTAAGCTAGATCTCTAGGTCAAACTCTTTCCTGAAGCTGACTTAAATATCTACTAAATATAATTATTTGGATGTCCCACTAGCAGCTCCAAAATAACATGTCCAAAATGAACTCAATTTTTCCTGCTCTCAAATCTACTTTTCCTTCAATACTCCCAGTTTAATGAATGGTGTCATTCAAATGTCACCTAAACAACAAACCTTCGAGTCATCTTAGTCTCTTCCCTTGTTGAGACTGCACGTGCTTTGCCTGGAATTCTCTTCCCACCCTGTCTGCCTTGTCAGTTCATCCATCAATACCCAGAGTAAGCTTTACTTCCTCTGGCAAACCTTGCCTGACCCTTTTTAATCCAGGCAGTGTTAGATATGTCTCCAGTAGGCTCCCTTAGTACCCTGTACACACACCTCTCTTGTCAGCTGTCACTTTGGGTGGGAACTGTTGGTTTATGCATCTGCTTTCTTGAGTAGAGCCTGTGTTCCCTGAGTTAGTGTGGACTTAATTGGTTCTGTCCTGGATCTAGTAACACTGTACCTGTCCCATAAGTGCTTAATAAATATTTATTGAATGGAAGCGTGTGTTTATCAATAATCTTCTCTTTAGCAAGGAGAAATAAAAATTTTTCAAGCTCAACTCAATTTAGCATGCACTTGTTGAATTCCTACTATGTGTACAGTTTCTTGCAAGTAGTAAGATTTATTTTCTGTCTTGAAGAAAGGTTAGGGTCTAATTGAGAAGATAAGGCCAGTAGCCTAGAGGTTTAAGCAATCCTGAAAGCTAATCTAATCATCTGATGAATGATGTAGACAGTAACCTCAGGGAGAGGGAAGTTAATGAATGTTTTTAGTTCTTACTGTGTGCCAGTTATTGTTCTATGTGTTTGCAAATGTTATTTAACCTCTACAACTTTGATTTTTCAAAAAGGAAATTGAAGTTAAATAAATAATCTAAGATCGTACAGCTAGTAGTAAAAGTTTGAACCCAGATTTGACTCCAAAAACACGCTCTTAAGTGTTCCAAAGGCCATTAAGAGAGTTATAAAGTGATAGTGTAGAGGAAAAATAATATCCAATTGTAGGACAATAATTAAATTATGGTATATTCCCACAATGAAAGGTTACATATTCGTTACAAATCATGTGGTTAAGGAGTATTTAGTATCTTGAGAAAGTGTTTATAATATGAAGTACTGAAAGACAGTATATAAAAGTATGATTCCACTTTTTAAACATACATATATTTTTGTACATAAAAGGTTTGAAGGAAATGCATGACATGGTTAGCAGTAATTCTCCCATAGTTGTGGCGTTATAGACTGTATGAATTTCTCCTTTGTAAAAATCCGGTTTCCAAATTCTCTGCAATGAACATGAACTTTTATAATCAGAAAGAAGATCATTCAAAAAATAAAGGACTAAAGAAGAAAATAATCAATCAGAACTTATTTAAAGTCTTAGAATTGTTAAAAGAGGAAAGGTTTCGTGTTGACCTTCTCTGCCTCTCGGGTGGAACTGACCTAAGCATCTCAGACAGATTAATGTTTCCTATTTCAAGATCATCTCACTAGGATAAGCCACTCTTCCTCTGCCTTGCAGTCAGTTCTGTTGCCCAATAACAAGTGGAAAAGGAATTTTCTCTTTATATTGTTTCATGAAGACATGGTCATGAGAGACACTTCCATGTCTTATGGAAGTTTTCATTGTATAAAGATATTTTCTCTGAAATAAGGGATGAATTTAATGCTCCTGCTTGGAAGAAAGAAATTTAATGCTCCTGTCTGGTCTTTATGTTCTACTTCATAAAAACATTGAAGGAAGCGATAAATGTGGATATTTAAGGGGAATCAAAAAGGAATAGGAAAATATGGATTGTTACATGTCTCCATTAGTTTTCTTTTAAAAGAAATACTCTATGCATTATCTGTCTGTTTTTCCTCTGGGTGGCTATTTTTCTAGCATAGCGTGTATGACTAACTTTTCTCATTGGGATTTAGCACACTCTAGTGGACAGTAGCTTTTCAGTTTTTTTTAAAAATCATGTCAAATTACTTTATTGGACAATTCCGTGATGTGCTTACTAGATAGTAAAGTTTGTCAATATTTATTTGAGTCAAATAGTGACCTAGTGAGCAGGACTACCTTTATAGGCCACTGGGGTGTTGTGCATTTTTGTATGGTTTCTTTAGTATAGAGAAGAGAGGCTTTTTACATTATATAGAAACTTTTTCCCATTGGCTTTCGTCTTCTCTTGGGTAAAATGAAATTGATTGGGAGGCCAAGACGTGGAGGAGCTCTGGTAGTCTTTCTCTACCTTACACTCCTTGGTTCTTATGATATATTTTATGTTTCCATTTTAGGACTTTTGAGAATTTTAGTATTCTACTTTGTGAAAAATTTGACCGTTTGTGCATAAACGTTGTTGTGTCCTATCACTATGGATTGTTTCTTGAGGTGGGCTTCCACCAGAAAAAAAAGTAATTTTTGTTTTGTTTTTGCAGAGTGATGGTGAGGATTTTAATTACATTGTTGCATTTTTCCTCGGAACTGCAGCCTGCCTTTATCAGGTAGGTTCTCTTCCATCTTTTAAGAAACACTTTTCCATTATTGTTTGTTTCAGGTTATCAATTCCAATAATTGCTTGGGTACTTTAAATAAATAAAAATAGTGTCTGGGTTCTTTGCCTCCCTTTTCATTGGAGCCTCTCTTAGCTTCGTGACGTAGATCTGTATTTTGAGTGGGTATAGATCCTAGCGAACTCAGCGTTCGCCCCATCCTGTGCTGGGCGTCAGTGGCAGTATGTCATCTGCCTGTGGCAGTAAAGGCTACTCCTAGATTTCCTGGTGACTGATTATTCAGCTTCCAGGCTCTGCTTATACTCCAGGCTGAGGATTTTGTACTTTGGGGAAAGTCTTTGAATAGGAAACAGAAAAAGCAGGATTTTAGGATATTTAGTGTAGCAGTGATGCCTAGGATGCATTGTCAGAGCAGAGAGATCAGAAGCAAGGAAATTAGTTGGGAGGTGATTACATTACTTCAGGCAGAGGGTAATGAAAGCATAAACCATGGCAATGATAGGAATAGAGAACAAAAGGAGAGACTCTCAGAGAGTCTGCTGAGAAGGAAGACTCTAGGACTTGGAGACAGAATAGATACGAGACTCCAGACTCGAAGGAGGAGGTTTTGCACCTGGGTGATAGGGAGATGGGTACTTGCATTTCCAGGACCAGAGGAGGCACAGATTCCTAGGGAAGGGAAAGGTAACCATGCCAGTTAGCCAAACTCATGAATGTCTTGGCTAAAACACATTAGAGCAAGCAAGCTCTTTTGACCTAACTTTTATAAGTCACACATTTCTCTGGTTTGCATAGAAAAAACGTTCGAAAGATTCACGCCTGCAAATAAAAGGCTACCTAAAACTCAGTAGAAGACTTTAGGGAAATACTTTGAATATGTGCATTTGACTCTTATGTAAAGACATATAAGAAATTTTAGTTTCACTGGCCCCATTTTTTAGAATCCCCTAATTTTTCTTAATCATTTATGTTATTTCCAGAAATTTTTTGTCAGATTTGATAGATTTAATTATAATATTTTATGCAGGAAATTTGAAAACTTGTATTTTTTAATGTCACAAGTGATTTGCTTTATGAGGTATTCTTGTGTAGATTTTCTACTTTAATTTCTACAGTCCTGTCATACAGAGGATATAATCTCCTTTTTGAAAATGAGAAATCCAGTTTCAGCACTAGCAGGGGATCACACAGCCAGTAAGGGGTGGTGTCAGGACTTAACCCTGAGTCTTCTGATTTTAAATATCATGTTCTTTCCACTATATCATGCTGTCTCTATATTTGTATAATTTTTATAACGCTATAAAATTATAATTTTATAACTTTTCTGTGCATTTTAACAATGTGAGGTAAACATTAACTTTAAAATAATTTCATGAACAATTATGCTTATAAAATATGCTTTTGGTTGTTTTGTCTTAATGAAATAATTTTAAATGCTAATAACAATAGCAAAATGTATTGAGCTTACTATGTGTGAAGCCCTTTACATTCCTTGTACTGTTACATCCTCACAGAAAGCCCCACACGAATCCTGTTATCTTGATACGCTGTTTTTCACTGAGGCCTAGACAGTTCTTATAGCCAGTCTGACTTGAACGCAGGTCTGTGTGACTCCAGAACCAGTGCTCTTGCCTACAGATACACACTTCTGTTACATTCAACAGCTGAAAAGAGTTCTAAGAGTTGCCTTACGGTGGAGCGTCACTCAGGTGTTCTTTTACTTGAGAGAAGTAAACAAATTCATGCTTTAAAAAAGGAAAGCAAGAAACCAGTTTCCTTCATATTGACAGGCATGAAACTGCATACTTTCCAAATATGCTGAGCAGAGTGATAACAATGCTGTTTGTTTCTGCAGTAAAACTTAGATGATTACATTTTACCATATAGCATGCTCTGTCTCCAGTTGTCAGGATATTTTCTAATCCCTTTTACATCAGACCTCAAAGGCCACTACTACATGGTTTGTTGCCTGTTTCTCCAGGCTGTGAGTGCTAATGGAAGCACAGAGCTCAGCCAGAGAAGGGTAATCTTGATATGGAACATTTCAAATAGGAAATCAAAGGATCTGTGAAGAAACTCAAGACTGTTCCTTTTCCTTCAACATTTTATTTTGAAAACTTACAGAAAAGTTGAAAGACTAGTATACCTAGAGTCACCAACACGTGCTTTATCTTACTCCCTGTGTGTGCATATAGTGTGTATGTTAGCCTATAAAGTAAGTTGCAGACAAATATGTATGTGTAAAGTTGTTTTTCTTATTAAATTTATAATTTTTAGATGATTATAGATTCACATGGAGTTGTAAAAAAGACCCTATATAACCCTCACCTGGTCCCCCCCCAAAGGTACCATCTTGCAAAACTGTAATACAGTATCACAACCAGAATATTGATGTTGATGCAGTCAAGATATAGAACATTCCTATCACCACAGAGACCCCTTGTGTTGCCCTTTTATAGCCACATCCACTTCCCTCCTGTCCCTTACTCTCTGGCAACCACTAATGTGTTCTGCCTTTCTATAATTTTCTCATTTTATGTATGTTATATAAATGTAACCATATAGTATGTAACCTTTTGTGATCAGCACTTTTTTACTCAGCATGATTATCTGGAGATACATCCAAGTTGTTGCATACATCAATGGATTTGTTCCTTTTTATTGCTGAATAGTATTCCATGGTCTGGATGTACCGCAGTTTGTTTAGTCATTCACCTTTTGAAGAACATCTGAGTTTTTCAGTGTTTGGCTGTTAGAAATAAAGCTGTTTAAACATTCATGAACAGGTTTTTGTGTGAACACAAGTCCTTATTTCTCTGAGATAAATGCCCAGGACTGCAGTTGCTAGGTCATATGGTAGTTGCATGCTTAGTTTTGTTGAGAGTAGCATAGTAGTTTTGTTGTAGAGTAGCATACCATTTTACACTCCCACTAGCATTGTGTGAATGATCCAGTTTCTCTGCACCTTCTCCAGCATTTGGTGTTATCACTATTTTTCATTTTAGCCATTCAGATAGGTGTTTCCTGATACCTCACTGTGGTTTTAATTTTTGTTTCCCTAGTGGCTAATGATGTCAAACATCGTTTTGTGTGCTTGTCATCTATATATCCTCTTGGGTGAAATGTCTGTTCATGTCTTTTGCCTATCTTCTAACTGGATTGTTTTTTTACTGTCAAGTTTGAGAGTTCTTTGTACGTTCTAGACATTAGTCCTTTGTCAGATAAGTAGTTTGCAAATAGTCTCCAAGTCTGTAGCTTGTCTTTTCATTCTTTTAACTGGGTCTCTTGCAAAATAGTTTTTAATTTTGATAAAGTTCATTTTAGCAGTTTTTCCTTTTATGGATCATGTTTGTGGTATCAAGTCTAAGAACTCTTTGCCTACCCCCAGATCCTGAAGATTTTCTCTTATGTCTTTTTCTAGAAGTTTTATAGTTTTGTGTTTTACATTTAAGTTCATGATCCATTTTGAGGTAAGTTTTTTGTGTAAGATTGTATAAGATGTGAGACTTAGATTAGATTGAGGGGTTTTGAGTGTGTGTGTGTGCGCGCCAATGAATGGATGGCCAGTTGCTTCAGCACCTTTTGTTGAAAAGGCTATTTTTTTCTCCACTGAATCGCTTTTGCATCTTTTGTCAAAAATCAATTGGGCATATTTGTGTGAGTAGATTTTTGGGTTTTATATTCTGTTCCATTGATCTGTGTGTCCATCCCTCTGCCAGTCCCACATAGTTTTGATTACTGTGTCTATATAATATGTCTGAAGCTGAATTTTCTTAATAGTTATAGGGTTATTCAAATTATCTGTTTTATAATGGGTGAATTATGGTAGTTTGTGTTTTATAAGAAAGTGGTCCATTTCAGCTGTTACCAAATTTACGTGTGTGGAATTGGTTGTAGTATTAACTTACTGTCCTATTGATGTCTGTAGGATCTGTAGCGATAGTCTCTGTTTTATTCCTCATATTGGTAATTTGTATCTTCTCTCTTTTTCTTTGTCAGTCTTACTTAATTTCATTGATCTTTTCAAAGAAACTGCTCTTTGTGGGTTTTCCCCCTGTTTTCTACTTTATTGATTTCTGCCCTTTTCTTATTTTCTTCCTCATGCTTACTTTGCTTTGGGTTTATTTGGCTCTTCTTTCCCTAGGTTCTTGAGATGGGAGCTTAGATGACTCGTTTCAAAATTTTCTCTTTTGTAATGTATACATTTGTTGTTATAAGTTTTCCTCTTAGCACTTTGTTAACTGTGACCTATAGATTTTGATATGTTGTATTTTCATTTTCATTTAATTCAGTGTATTTAAAAGTTTTTTTCCTTGTGACTTCCTCTTTGACCTATGGATTATTTAGAATTGTGTTTCTTAGTTTCCAAGTGTTTGGAGATTTTCCAGTTTTCTTCCATTATTGATTTCTAGTTTGAGTCCATTGTGGTTGGAAAACACACTCTGTGTGATTTAATTCTTTTAAATTTGTTGATGTTTGTTCTGTGGCCCAGAATACAGTCTATCTTGGGTGTATGTTCCGAGGGTACTTGAACGGAATGTGTATTCTACTGTTACTGAGTCAGTGTTCTGTAAATGTTGATCAGGTCCTATCAGTTGATGGTGGTGTTGAGTTTTTCTGTGTTCTTGGTGATTTTCTGTCTAGTTGTTCTATCAGTTGTTGAGAGAGGAATATTGAAGTTTTAAGCTATAATTGTGGGTTTGTATATTTATCGTTTCAGTTCTGTCAGTTTTTGCTTCACATATTTTGCAACTCTGTTATTTGGTTCGTACACATTTAGAATTGCTGTGTCTTCTGGATGGATTGATCTGTTTATCAGTCTATAATATCCCTGTCTATCCCTGATTATTTTCTTTGATTTTTTTTTTAAGTGAGGAAGATTGGCTCTGAGCTAACATCTGTTGCCAGTCTTCCTCTGTTTTGTATGTGGGACAGCATGGCTTGATGAGAAATGTGTAGGTCCACACCAGGGATCCAAACTCATGAACCGTGGGCCATCAAAGCAGAGTGTGTAAACTTAATCAGTACTCCATCGGGCCAGCCCCTCTTAAATATTTTTATATTTATGTGACATTGATATAGCCTCTCCTGCTTTCTTTTGGTTAATGTTTGTATGATATATCCTTTTCCTTACTTTTACTTTCAATTTGCCTATATCATTTGAAGTGAGTTTGTGGTAGACAACATAGAGTTGATTTGTTTTTTAATACACTCTGCCAATCTCTGTCTTTTAATTGTTGCATTTAAACCATTTACATTTAATGTAGTTATTGATATGTTAGGGCTTAAGTCTGCCATCTTATTTTTTGTTTTGCATTTTTATGTTTTCTTTTTCTTCCTGTGGTTTACTTAAACATTTTTTAGAACTCCATTTTGATTTATCTGTAATGTTTTTGTATCTCTTTGTATAGCTTTTTAAATGGTTGCTCTAGATATTACATTATACATACTTATCGCAGTTTTCTGGTATTGTCATTTTGCCAGTTCAAATGAAGCATAGAAACTGCACCTTCCTTTATGTGCCTTTGATTTCCTCTGTTTATAATATAATTGTCTTAAGTATTTCCTCTACATATACTTAAAACCACATCAGACAATGTTACAATTTTTACTTCAGCCATCAAACATAATTTAGAAAACTCAGGAGAAGGAGAACCTATTATATTTACCTGTATTTTTGCTGGCTGTGTTCTTTTTGCTTTCTCAATGCACCAAGGTTCCTTCTTTATTGTTTCCTTTCTGTTTAGAGAATTCCCTTTAGCCATTCTTTTAGGGTATATCTGTAGGCAACAAATTCTGTTAGTCTTCTTTCACCTGATAATGTCTCTATTTCCCCTCCTACTAGTTACAAAGGGAAAAATAGTAACTTCACAGTGGAGAAACCTGTCAGACACCACTTTACCAAGAGATCAAAGTTAACATCACCAGTAATAAGACATATTACACATCACCTTCTGTGGTAGTCTTGCCAAAATTGCATATTCTCACTTCAATCTTGAGAAAACATCAGACAAACAAATTTAAGGGACATTCTACAAAATAACTGAGCAGTACTCTTTAAGACTGTCAAGGTCGTGAAAAACAAAGACAGACTTGAGGAGCTGTTACAGATTTGAGGAGACGTGACAACTAAATGCAATATGGAATCCTAGATTGGATTCTGGACCGGAAAAAGGGCCCTAGTGGGACAACAGGCAAAATTTGAATAAAGTCTGTAGATTAGTTAACAGTATTGTTTCAATGTTAATTTTCTGGTTTGATGACTATACTATGGTTGGCATGAGGATGACATTATGGGGAGCAGGGTGAAGGGTATACAGGAACTCTGCTATTTTTGCAGCTTTTCTCTAAATCTAAAATTGTTTCAAAGGAAAAAGTTTTCTTCGACTTTTTTGGCACAATGCAAATCAGATAAAATAAGTGCCTCCAATTCCTTTTGCTTGGATGGCAGTCTTCCTTTTAAGTAAGCAAAGTCCTAATTTGTATAAGAACTAACTACATTTAACAGGACATTTCCACATTCTTTCTTCCTTGTCACAAACACCCTAATGTCCTTCCTATTCTGAAGTCTGGATTTGCAGAGAGCACACAGAGACCTGTGCTTCTTTCTTAAGACATTGTAATCACGTGTAATTTCTATATTTACCAGATTGTGAATTTTAGATACCTTCTACAAAACCATTTATTCAGCAAATTTGTATTGAGCACTTAGGTGCCAGGCACTCTTCTGGGCACATGAGATAAATGAATGAACAAGATAGTGAAAAATCTTCCCTTTCATGAAGCTTAGATTCTATTGGAAGAATACAGATGACAAACAAACATTTTTGAAGTATGTTTATAGAACGTTGTGGAGAAAAATGAAGCAGGAAGAGGTGAATGCCGGATTTTTTGGGGGGAGTACTTTCTTTACTATCTCTTCTAAAATAGTACTCACTGCCTTCTGTTTTCTTTTTCTGTTTCATCTTTTATCTTTTTCAAGATATAACTATTTGGGTATTATATATATAAAATTTTTATAATCGTTCTCCCTCCACTAGAATGTAATGTGAACAAGGGCTTTCTTTTTTTATTTAAAACTAAAGAACATTGCCTGATTTGTAGCAGGCCCTCAATAAATATCTGTTTAATGAATTCTCCCTCAAATGTTCCCTCAGATCCTCTGCCTAGCTTAGTTCCTTGCACTTCATGGGGGATCAGTAAATATTTGTTGACTTCATTAGTATTCGGATTCAGGTTATGTAAGAGTCTGTTTTACTAAATGGCTTGCTTGAGCTTTTTGTACTTTTCTGGGATGGGAATGAGAGATGGAACCCCCTCATACCTTGAGAATGCTTCTTAGTTGCTGGTCATCTTGAGGAATTTGTCCAGCCTATTTGTAAGAGAGTCATCCAATTGTACGTCCATTTTAAATATGATACAAAATGCTTTTTCTTTTAAAAAATGAAAAACATTAAAGGAAAAATCTATTTCCCTTTCAAACTGTAGAGTTTTCATAGCTGAATATCTTGAAGATGTTATGTTATCTGTAGATTAAAAATCCCCTTATTCCACTCTCATATTTTAGTCTATGGCCTGTTACAATTTTATAGTAGAAGCCTGTTTCTTTTCTTGTATCCCTAATCATCTTTCATTTTATATTTTGAACAGTGTTATCTACTTGTCTACTACACCGGCTGGCGGAACGTCAAATCTTTTTTGACTTTTGGCTTAATCTGTCTATGCAACATGTATCTCTATGAACTGCGCAACCTCTGGCAGCTTTTCTTTCACGTGACTGTGGGAGCATTTGTTACTCTACAGATCTGGCTAAGGCAAGCCCAGGGCAAGGCTCCTGATTATGATGTTTGACACCATCCTTCAGACGTATTGCCTTGGCTTCCAGGGGAAAAAGGAGGGAGCGTATCTTAACTGCCACTGTGATAAAGAAACTGTTCACCACAAATGAGAAGCTCTGCTTTCTTTCTCTCCAACTGTCCTTTTTGTTTTAAGTCAGCATGGCATGCTTGGAAGCATGCAATACCTGCTTGGCAAACTCCTCTCAGAAGAGTGTTGGCCATTAGATTGTTATTCAGAGTCGGAGAAGACTACTTCTCTCTGCGGGACCCTGACAATGGAGGAAGTCAGACGCCATTGGAAGACTCAGCCCCCAGGCCTGAATCCTTCTGAAGAGTTGAATCAAAAATAGGTGTGGTACTTGTTCTGAGGACCAAGCAGGAGCTTTACAACCTGGATTTGCCTTTGTGAGGCATTAGTATAGACCAAATAAAAAGATGCTGCAGTAAATTGGAAAGTTTATGTTTAAAACAAGTGACTTGCTAAATATCAGATTATTTGCATATTTATGGTACCTTGAGTTTATGAAGTCCGGGTTGGTGTAGGATTGGTTCTTTTTCCTTTTTTCCTTTTACTTGAATCTTAACTCTGGAAATCATCTGACATAGGAGAAGGCTGTGGTAAGCTCATCTCTGGAACATCACAAGTGTTGAAAATATGTTGACATGTGTTTCCTATTTAGACCATGCTTGTAGTTTCTTTTGAAATCACTTCTTAAAAATACCATTCGTTAGATTGTATCCATCATTTCCCAAACTTCAATCACTTGAATAGTAAATATACTATTATTCACTTATTTATCTTTTAAATTTTAAAATATTTTTAAAAGAAACTAATCTCTACTCCAAATGGAAAACCAGCATCAGTTTGCCATAAATAAAAGGTAACTACAAAATAAATAAAATTACAGCAAAATGTTATTAAGTTCTAGCTGGATGCTAATGCCTGCCAGGGCTCCGAATCCAGGAGGCCTGCTGTTTTCTCTGTCGCAGTGAGACAGACAGCACCAAAATGGGGCTCACTCTGTAGAATTAAAGCAGAAGGATAAGAGAAACTCGTGAAGGGAATGACACTCACTCTGGTTCAGCAGTATTTAATTCCACCTGTGTACCACCTAAAAGCATCTTATATGCCACCAGGGGTCTGGGTCCTGCCCTGTGGGAACACGGAACTGGGCTCAGAAAATCCAAGGTGACTTTCCTGCCAGCGGCTGTTACTATTTTATGGCTTTGAGGAGTTAAGCACCTAGTATCTTAGAGAACTTACTTGGTTTTTGATAACATTATAAAGATTGTTCAAGCAGTTATGAATTAATAATATAGGAAGCACAGTTTGAGTCCATTAGCAAAATCTAAAACTCTCCTGGTTTTTGAAATTATCTTCATGAGTGATTTTCTTTTGTTTTTTAACAAAAAAAATTCCAAACAAGGAATTCATAAGGTATTAAAGCATGATATCTGGAAAAACAGTGGGCGCATTACTTATAATTCATGTTGCTGGACCTTTTTAGTAAGTAGAAGGAATAGTCCAGGGGGTGAAGTCACTGAACTACCTTGTTTGCCGGAGCCAGTATACGTAGGTGTGTCTACAGCCGTACAACGGTGCTTAACCAGGAGCCTTGTGCTCCAGTCTCCTTTCAGGAGAATGAGGCAAAAGGAAGACAATAAGCTTATGATATCAGGGATTTGTTTAAAACGAGAAACTCCAGTTCAATTTTCTGCCTCTAACAAAACTGCACAGAAATTATGTATTATCTGAGAGATACCCTAAGGTATCACAGGACCCTAAATCATCAAAATAAAATTGATTTATGTTTGGCATTTTGTTTCCGAGCCGGGAAAGTGAAGTGGTTCAATTTAGAAAGGTTTTGCTAAACTAGTAGTTAAAACAGTAAGAGTTTTCTTGTAAGTAGTCAATTAACCAGGAGGTTGGAGCATTCTGGTTAATTGTGACTTTGCTATATATTGATATTTTATAGCTCTTTTACCAGTTGGCTCTCCTTATCGTTGAATTATTGAGTTAAAATGTTTGGTAGTTGGTTCTATTCAGCAGGACACTTGAAAACTCACCAGCTGTCTTTAAAAGCTTATTTTTTGTTTTTGTTTTGTTTTTTCACCAGCTGTTTTGGAGAAGGGGATGTTTACATCTTAATGTAAAAAATGAAAACAGGTATAAATAATGTTTTATGTATAGAAATGCTTTCTTTCATTATTTGGTGCCTGCAATTTCTGAGTATTTATATAACTTCCCTGCCTCTATCATGTTGTTGCCAAAGAAACTATGAATTTGGAACGAAAAATTTTTGCCCTGAGTGTAAAGAAGTCCTTCAGCTCTTGAGAGAGAATCCCTCAGGCCTCTAATGTGTGTGGCGTTTATACCGCACTTTTACCTCCAGGAGCAAGTCTGCCTTCAGCTAATCATGACTTGTAGTGTGGGAGTGGTGCCTCTCCTCCTGCTGTGAAGGAGGGGACTCAGGCAATCAGATCACAATGACTCACCCCAGGGGCCACGGAGCGAAGCACACGCGTCTTCCAATCTCTCAGTCCTGGGCTCCTCCACTAGAGTGGAAACCTAAAGATAACTAAGATTATATTCAGGGAGTCTGTCTGCCCTTGGTAAGATCAAGGAATTGGGGACTTCTTAAAATAATGAGCTCAGGCCTGCTATTGTCAAATTTAGGTGTATATTGTCTTACTTAAGGTAATTTTGAAATACTGGTTTTTGTAAGGTGTGCGATGAGAGCAAAGATACTCTCTTTTATATCCTAAAAGTAATTGCCATATTTGCTTGCTTTTTTGGTCTGTATTTGAAATGTATTTATACCTGGCCTCTTTCACAAAAGAATTTGAAGCAGCATACGAAGAAAAGGTGTATACAATAACATTAATGAAATATGAACAGAAAGGGGAGAAAAGACCAATGGAAATGGAAGGAAGGGTAAACACTGTGCTTTTATTAGCTGTAAAATTGGACTCTTGAACTTCCTGGAAGTCAAGGCTTGAAGAAGGGAATCAAGTTTCACATCGCCCTAGCTCTGTCTGTAAGTCAAAGCAAACAGGTCCTCAGGGCAGACCTCTTCCAGACGGTTCTGGTGGCAGTGCTGGCACTGGGGGTCCTGTGAAATGCTGCAATGAACAAATCCTCAGCAGTTTTATGCATATTTGCATGAGATGATTGTGCCTTGGATCCTCAACTTTAACCAGCTTTCAAAGGCTTTCTTTTCAGGGTGTTTTTTGGTGTGGCTAATAGAGGATTTGTTCCCATAAGTAAGAATTCTTATCCTAAGCTAAAAACAAGTACTGTGTTAAAGCTTGAAAATCCATTTGAGACGTGGAGAACTTTTACCTAATTTTGTAATTTTATAACTTATATGAAGTGAATGTGCTGTCCCTGGATTAGCACATTTATTTTGTATTAAATGTGATCTTTTTCACAGTGGAATCCAGTCTGGAGAAACGCATGGCTCCATTTCTGTTAGGCCATGTCTGGACACTCATTAGAGAACCAATTTATCAAGGCTCTACAGAGACCAGATTTGTCAGATGACCTTACCTGGTCACAGAAGTGCCTCCTCCTGAGGCTAGCTGCCCACCAAAAAGGCAGTTGCTGGGCCTTTATTCCAAAAGGTTTACAAAGTAACCGAAGAACCCACCCTGAGCTGTTGGATTTCCAAGAGACACAACAAAGTGTACAGCATATTGTGTGTGTGTGTGTGTGTCTTTACCTTTCTTGTTATTATTTTAAGAGACTCTCTGTTCAGTTTACAAGTTAGAACTATCATAGAGTATGTGGTAAAACAACAAATAAGTTATTTCTAAAGCAGTCACCACTCAGACCAAATTGGACTCTTGGCCTTACCGCGAATTATAGGGCACTCTTCAGGGCTGCGTTCTTTTTTCTATGGTCAAGCCTTCTTTGTATTTTTCTGCTTCATCATCTCTAAGGAAATGGAGTCTTTCTGCCTAAAAATGCTGTGGTAAAATCAAACCTGATTTTTGATTTAAATTGGCTTTAGTGTATCCTAGCTGAAAGTTAATAAAAGAAGCACCTCCAACCCCAAGGGTTATGAATGAGTTTGTGTATAAAAGCTGAGAATTTGACTCTTTTGGTCTGATTGATTGGGGTTAGGTTAGCGGTGTCTGGCCATGTTGATCAGTGTTCTGGGACTATGCTGAATGCTGGCATTTCGCAGCCTCCTGTTTGAGAATTGGGCTTTTCAAAGAAGCAGTGTCTGCGGCTGCCACTCCTGTAACATCGCTTCCTGCAGTGGCCAGGCTTTCTGGGTTACTTTATTTAGCAAATGAGATCACAGCGTCAAAGCACTGCGTGTGGGAAGCCGTGTGGCTTGTATCCTCCTTGCTTGTGAACGGTGAGTGGTGTTGACACGTGTGCACATGTTTTCTTCTGCAGTGGCAGTGCCGGTGTATAATAAATAGTCTCAGCACAATTGTAGGCTGTAGGAAACTCAAGGAGAGAACAGGCTTAGTTCTCAGAGTTCCTGAAGTCAGTACCCAAGCCTTGCGAATTGTTCCTTGCTGTTTCCTTGGCAACAAACCGTATTTTCAGCCGAACCTCGCCCACGGTTCACATTTGCCCTTTACTCCTGCGTCCCGCAGCACAGCAGTGCAGCGTCACCCAGCAGAAGCACATTCAGTCTCCATCTCACAGTGGGAAGCAGAACTAATACATTCCGTCTTGCACTGGGTCCTGGCAGCCCCACCCCAGCTCTGCCTTGGTGCCTGCTTTGTGCCAATGCTTTCTTTGAAGCTGGGTTGTCAAAACCTTGCCTAAAAGTGAACAAACAATGTTTTGCCCTTGCACTTTGAATTCTTCCTGTGCCCAGGACTAATGATAAGAATGCTTGTTAGCCCCTTTGTGGGCCACTGCTAGGCCCTCCCACATAGTTAATCCTATGGCAGCCCCGGGGCAGGGGGAGGCACTGTGTCACCTTCATGTCAGGAGACAGACTCACGTTCAAATCTGCAATTCGGTTTAAATGACTCTAAAGTTGGTGCAGGTTTTTCTATGCCACAGAGGCTCAGAAAGAAAATTCTGAGTGTGTGTGTGTTACTGACAGCCACTGGGCTCATACTGTTACAGCAGCAGTGAGAACAGACAAAGCTGACGTGGGTGGGGGTGGCACTGTGTGTGATAAGCATGTCACCCTCACAGAAAGCCTTTACGTAGGCTTTCTGTTCCACAGACAAGCACCTGAGGGCTGAAGAAGTTAAGCGACTTGACCTCAGTCACAATCTAACTCTTGGTGGCACCAGGATTTCAATCCAGATCAGTCTTACTGAGAACTCATCTCTGAACCATCGTGTAATATTAAGGTAGACAACATGGAATTATGTTCAAATATTTAAGGAATATATGTTGGAAAATGTATATACAAGAAATCTGCATTGCTTTTTTTTTTTTTTTAAAGATTTTATTTTTTTCCTTTTTCTCCCCAAAGCCCCCCGGTACATAGTTGTATATTCCTCGTTGTGGGTCCTTCTAGTTGTGGCATGTGGGACGCTGACTCAGCGTGGTTTGATGAGCAGTGTCATGTCTGCGCCCAGGATTCGAACCAACGAATCACTGGGCCGCCTGCAGCGGAGCGCGCGAACTTAACCACTCGGCCACAGGGCCGGCCCCTCTGCATTGCTTTTTTTAATAAAAGAGACCTGGTCAGTGCTAACTCCTGTAAAGGAGATGTCCTAGACTGAGTAAAATAGTTTCCTGAAATTCCTGCATCTCTAACAGCGACATAGGACAGATGGCTGAAAGAGGTATGGTGACCCTTGAGCGTGCCTCAGACTTTAGAGCAGGGAGGCATCCAGCTTCGTCTTTGTAATAAAGCTAACTCGCGGATTCAGGATTCTGGATCTAGAATGTTACAGCCTCACTGGCAATTCGTGTGTTACGTTTGCTTTTTCTGGCGGAAGGCCAGGAAAGACTGGTTCTTTGCTCTGAAGTAATCTCGTGAAAATTCTGCTGTAAGTGGTCCCTATCTCTGAAGAGAATTGTTTAATGAAGACATTTAAACAAAAAAATAGAAGGTAACTATGCAATATTCAATAGCTATTGAGTTTGAAGTCAGACTTCCTGGCTCTCTTCCACTAGCATGGTGACCTCAGCAAGTCACGGGACCGCTACCTCAGTTTCCCCATCTGTAAAGTGAGGACTATAATAGTACCTTGGACAAAGCATTGTATTAAATGAGTCAGTAAATATAAAGCTCTTAGAGCAGAACCTGGCACAGGGAGTGCTAGGACAGCACTGTCCACGGCATTGCGGTCTGTCTCGGCATTACTTTTACCTTCAAGGAAATAAGAGTCTTTTAAATTGCAAATGTCCCAAATATGATAAATTATTGCACAAAGCTTTTCAGAAATCGCCAGTTAAGTGAGGGTCCTGTTGCAATGTCTCCAGCAAGCTCTTGCGTGCAGGCTTCTGGGCAGGGCGGTGGGGATGCTGTCAAAGAGGAGAGGGGAGTTGAGAGACTCTTGCTTTCCAAGTGCCTGCTCTGTATCAGATGCAGAAGGTTACGTGAGCTTCAGAAAACCCACCCAAGCTAAGAAAACAGGATCCAATTGTCCAGTGTCACACAGCCTGGAGGCGGTGGACTGCTCTCCAGGACCCCACAGTCTCCCAGGCACTGGAGTGCTGTCAAATGGGGAAGGTGCCTCTGGGGACCTCGCCTTGTCCAGCGTGGCACTAGCACTTTGGCCCCATCATCCTTCACTTTGAACATTCTAATCTGATCTAGTGGATACTCTTGGATGGCGGCCACCGTAGTGCACACCACTCTCTGAGGGCCCCCATGAGTGTCTATGTGTGTGTGGTCTGTGCATTGATGGCAAGTGAGGGGTAGGGGAAGGCAGCCAGCAGCCTTCAACCTGCAATATGGGAATATCATATAGATGCCGGGGATATGAGAGCTCAAGGGACTCATAAAAAGTACAAATGCAACATGGCTTTTAAAAGACTAGTCTGAAGCAAAACACACTCCTCTAAAAAAAAGAAAACTTCAAAACTCATGTGAGCCAGGAAGTACCACTTTTGCTAAGTGATGAAGTCAAAGCAGAGAAGCAAATATTGCAAAATTGGAAAATAGTCCAAGTTAGAATAACTAGAGATACTGACAAACCAGAGATTCCAGGCAGGTCTAAATTAGAAGTTGGCTGAGGGGAGAAAAGTGACGATGCTCCTAATGAATTCCAGTGAGAATTCTTTAAATTCATGAGCATAATAGACCCGTGATACAAAAGGGGCCTTGGGGATGAATATACGCTCGCCAAGGGAGGGGGTGGCTCAGCTCTGCTCACTAGAAACGGGTGGGTCAGGTTTGGGGCTGGCAAGCCAGTGGGGACAGGATGCCTGCTTCACCCTGAGGGTGAATCCTGGACGAATCCTTTCCCTTCTCTTTGCGGTCTCTCACCCCCATCCCCTGTCTTTCTGGACCCTCTGCTTGCTCTTTGAACTTAGATTGATCTCCACCCTTCCGCACTCCATGGGTCAGGACCTTGATGGGAACGGCCTCCTGGCCGCACTGCTCTTTGCCGCCTGCTGCTGCTGGGTTGGTGTCTGGAGAAGGATGGAGCAAAGGCTGCTTCAGACTTTGGTTTGAAGGTGATCTTCCCACAGATCCCTTTGGCACGATGCTTTCATTTGTCTCTCTGCCTTTGGCTCTAAAATCTCAAAATCCTAATTCGACTGTGTTTATGTTTGTGCCATACGTGAGGTCTGGCACTTGAAGAGTGGAGAGAGTTACACAAATATTCAGAATCGGAGAATGTCAGAGGAGGAAGAAACCTTGGAGACTGGCCATTCCAACGGCCTCGTCTGGCTTTGTTCTTGCATTTGTCTTGCGAAGCAGTGACCCTGAAGATGAGAAGGAAAGATAGGCAAGAGGAGGACAGCAAATATCTTAATTTTCCTCCCAAGACAGGAAAAAAACCCACCAAAGGGCTTTACTGAAAATGTGGAAGGATAAGAAAAGCCACAGTACCATAGTAATTGGATCTCATTTCATCTACTGTCATCCTTGAGGAGTGTCAAGCCCTCTGTTCTTGCCAAGATCATCAGTACCCAGCCAGACGGGCACGCTGGACAGAAGGGCCTGTGGGCTAGAGCCACAGATTTTGTCCCTGAGTGTCAGAGCAGCTACAGGGGCCCTGGGGGAAGCAGAGTGGGAAAATATCTGTGAAAGCTCTTCCTACATTGTGAAGCTCGTCCAAATGGGGGACCTGGTATTCTCTGTACCCTCCCCTCCCCTCTGCCTCCACAGATAACACCTGCCCTCCCAACTCTCCTGCTGACCCCTGTGCTAAGTGGCACGGCCAGCACGGCCCAGCCTTGTCACTCCTTCCCTTCTGGAGATGACCTGTACAGTATTTGTTCTCTTCGGTGTTCAGTTGTTTCAACTTAGACAAATTCCTAGTGTGTTTGTCCCTGCTGCTGCCCTTCTCTTGTTCAGGTGGCAGCGAGAATCTGCTCAGCGTGACTTCTGAGCACTGTCCATCCAAATACCCGAGAATGCTTTCCTGCCCTGCAGACGTGAGCTCAGCATCTTTTTCAGGCATTGGGAAGTTTCATTTTGTGCTGACTGGCAACTCACGGCCACGTTACAGCACTATGGGAAACACTCATGTTTTATCATTTGAAAACGATAGCTCTGGGCATCATTGAACTATAATGCCACTCAGGTGAGACTTGCTTTTGGAAAAGTTCTGTAAACATATTTGTAATTTTGGAAGTCTGGAAGTAACGTGGCTCCCTGGTGAATCTTTAGCTTCAGCTTCCTCAGTGCCCCAAGCTTCACTGGGCCTTCCTGCTAACGGTGCTAACCCCCCACTATACTCAAGGCATCCCCATGTTGGCTGATCTGGTCTTGGTTTTAGTGCTCTCTGCCGTCAGAGGGCATAAAGCGGTGTTCAAAACTCACCCCACGTATCAATGGCGACTTTGCTGATGTTTTGCTAATTTACATTCTAGGTATGGATATGCTTTTGGAAAAAAGTATAAATCCCTAAAGGAGAAACAAATATGTTTTCTGGGATTAGCTCAGTGGAGACGGGAAGGGCTTATAAATGTTCTGAGTTGCATTCCTTTGCTGTCCCGGTGTGGACTGGGTGCACACGTGCATGTGTGTGGTTTCATGGGCCTGCCTGAGGGCCTGGTCTCTACCAGGCAGAGCAGAGTGGAGCTCTCCAGGAGCTGAGGTTCCCACTTAGGCCAATCAGCCCCTAAAGTTTGGTTTCCTTTTCTAATTTTCTAATAGTTAAACGTTAGCTCTATACAATACATCCTTCACCAGGCACATTTGAACTAACGACATCCATTCTCTTTGGAGCAGGCGGCCTGCCTGTGGCCAAAGCTGCCGCATCTGTGTCCCCATGTGGCCATTGTTGCAATGAACCAGTGAAGTCTTTTTCACTGGCTCCTTCATTTTCACTTGTGTTCAATTTAATTTGACCAAGCCCCTCTGCCTTTATTTCCTGAGCCCAAATATAACCCTGTGTTTGATGGGAGCAGCAGGCAGGAACTGCTGAAAAGGGCCCCCTGCCTTCCTACCACCTTTCCCTTCCTCTGGGGGAAAGAGGAATCCTGGGGCACGCATGACGTGGCCTGCATGGGCTTAGCAGACAGCCCCGCTTTGAATCTCCTCTCTGTTCATTACCAGCTGTGTGGGCTTAGGCAAATAAGTCAACCTCTCTGTGTCTATTTCTTCATCAGTGAAATGCAGATGCCAGGAGGATTAAATGAGATAATGTTTGTGTGGTGCTATCCCAGTGTCTGGCACACACAGAGTGCCCAATAAATGGTAGCCATCGCTATTATTATAGCTGTTAGCTATCCAGGTCAAGTCAGTTCATCCCTGGCTTGCATCTCCTCCCGTCCCACCTATGGGGGTCCTTGCAATGGTCTGTGTTCTCGCTTGTGTTTTCAACTTTGTTTCCCCTAGCATAGAAACATGTTTGCCTCACCTGTTTTAAAACATCCTTCCCTTGACCTTGGATCTTTTCTGGTTCCATCCTCCACGCCTGGTCCCCTCACTCCTCGTTCCTCTCCTCATCCCCCATTCCTCGGCCTCCTGCTCCTCAGTCCAGTGAGCTGCCTCTTGCCAAGGGCACCAGTGTTCTCCCACCTGTTGCCACCGTGACTGAGTCTTCAGCCGACGTGCTCTGCACAGCAACATGTTGTCTTCGCTCAGGAGCCCCTCCGAGGCTCCCTCCCCAGGGTCCCACCACGGGCTGAGTGCACTGTTCTTCAGACCAGGCCCAGGCCCCCGGCCCAAGCCACAAATCAGACCAGGACACATGATCAGTGAAAGTGTTTAATAGTTAAATTATTTAAATAGACTTTTCAATTTCCATGGGAAATCATAATCGTATCCGTTTTTGCAAGAGCAGGAATAAAAAGAGTGCACACCCCTTAGAGGGAATGAAGAGCCAGCACTGCACGTTGTCACCAGTCACTGCGGGGAGGGGCCCCCACGAGGCCGGGGAGGCCACGACCAATAGGGGGAACACGGGAGAACTCAGCACACACACGTTACTCGGGTTGGAAGCAAAACGAAACCCCAGCACCACTGTGAGCGATATGCGGGGGAGGGGGACTTGAGAAGAACACCGTGGAGAAAGCCGGCCCCTGCAACAGACACCAGGGGGCAGGCAGAACTCAAAGGAGGGAGCAGCAAAAGCAGACACACTCAGGCTGGCAGTTTTAGGTCCATAGCTTTGCTTCTCAGAGCTGCGTTCAAATTGGGGAAGGAGTGTCCAGTGAGACCTGGTGCAGGTGGGCATCAAAGTAATGTTTTGCAGCTGGCATACAGCTGCCACCTGACCTCCAGCAAGCTTGTGTTGGAGGTGAGAATAATTCTGCCCTGAGAAGCAATGAAAACATGTGGGCACAAGACCCAGGGATTCTGTTTGAATATCTCTCTATGAGAGTATATCATTTTCCAAATGCCTCCCTCATAGGGTATAAAAAATAGAATATTTTTCTTGGTATATTTAACTGTTCCCTCTCAAAAAACAAAAACAATTTCTGCTAAAAAAAAATTTTCTGGGGCTAGCCCGGTGGTGTAGTGGTTAAGTTCATGCACTCTGCTTCAGCAGCCCAGAATTTGCGGGTTTGGATCCCAGGTGTAGACCTACACAGCATTCACCAAGCCACGCTGTGACGACGTTCCATATACAGAAAATAGAGGAAGATGGGCACAGATGTTAGCTCAGGGACAATCTTCCTCACCAAAAATAAATAAAAGTTTCTGCCAGCTTTGCCCCATGGACTCTGAAACTGGGCTCTACCCTTTTCTCTGTTTGGTTTGCAGGTGAGGGGACAAGGTGAGCGCTGAGGCTGCTTCCCTCGGTTCCAACTCACCTGAGATGGGAAAGAAGCTTTTTTCTTACTCCGTTTGCATTTTACTTAGTGGCAGTGACGTGTATGTGTTAAAGGGATGGGGGAATGTGTGCTTGCATCGTCCTACTTAATGTGAACGCATGGGACCCCAAAAGGACATGCTCACTGCTCTGGCTGGACCTGGGCAAACCCAAAACTGCCACATCTGAAGTGAGGGAAACAGGCGTCCTGTGTGAGAAACAGTTCCACAGCATCAACAGACACACACACACACACACACACACACACACACACACCAGCACATACTTCGACATACATATAGTACAAATGAGCACAAACGCCCCGCGGTGCAACAGCCGTTTTCTAATATAGAGAATTTACAAAATATAGAATTTGGTATATTTGTTAGATCTCCAAGGTTTTCAATAATACAAAATAAAAAATACAAAAAAGACAAGTTGGGATCCCCGCCCCCCCCGCCCCAGTGGCATCCTCGTTTGCTCATGGGTCTCTGACACGCATACAACTAGCATAGTCTAAGGAAGGGCACAGAAACTTGTTTTATTTAATAAATATTTCTTTTTCTCAGAACCTCCACTCCTTGCTTTGAATCCTCTTGCCTCCCCCTCAAAGGGGCACAGTCTGCGTGTGTAGGTGGAGGAGGACGGCAATGAAGGCCACAGTCCCTCCAAAGCTGGCATTCCTGCCCCAAAGCCCCCTCCAAGGAGCAGGGGCCGTGGCCTCTGTCTGAAGTTTAAAGGCTCACGTGGAAAAGCAGACCCCTCGCGGCCCCCAGGTTCCCCAGGGCCAGAGTGGCGCCCACCTCCCACCCACCCGAGGCCGAGGTGTCCCCCTCGGCGCTGCCATCGCACCGGGCTGCCATGCCCCGCCAGCGCTCCGGCAGCTCCTGTCGGCCCGCGCAGCAGCAGCACCCGGCAGAAAACTCAAGATTCAGATCGCGTCTGGCGGAGTCTTCTACAGAGGGAAACATCTTTGGTCAGCTTGGTGCTCGCAGGACGCTGGCACCCCAGGGCCTGGGACGGAGGCCGCTGCCCGCCCGCAAAGGCAGGAGCAGCTTCGGGAGTCAAAGTGGAACGTCTCCCCGGCGCGGCCACGTGGGCTGGAGCGCAGGCTGCCACCTGCCCGGCCAGCGCACAAAGAAGCCATTTCCGTCTGTCTGGAGGCCAGGCTGCCTGGTGGCACGGGCTGCAGCCGCTAACTGAGCGGGGGCCCTCCATTGAGGAAGTAGGTCATCATCTCGCCTTTGCCCTTGACCTTGACCACACCCCGGCACTCCAGCTGGTAAGTGTTGGCGGCCAGCACCTGGTACATGTCTGTGGTGACCTGAGGAGGCAAAGGAGAAGACAGGACAGGCCATCGATGACATGAGCCGTGAATGTGCCGTGGGGCAGAGCCACCTACCACCCCTGATGCAGAGGGTGGGCAGCACTTCCCCAGCCGGGGCTGCCGGGGACAGACAGCTGCTCGTCCGTGGACGCGTGTCTCAGAAATGAGAAGGACGCAGCACCTACTCCATGCCAGGCAGTGTGGCGAGCACCTCACATGTGCTATTTCAGAGCTATGCAAAGTGTGGCCTGTGGTCCATGGACTGCTCGTCATCTTCCCTAACAAGAGAAGTGCGGAGCCGAGAGGAAGTGCTCGGGAGCTTTCACAGCAATGTGATGCTGCCGCAGACAACATCCCAGCATGTGGCCAGTGTGTACCAAGACCTCACTCCATGACAGATCAGAAATATCTTTGGAAACAGGTTTTTCACCACAGTTTGAGAACCATTGCTTGTCGCATTTACTCTTTCTAGGAGGGAAGAACTCTTACCTCAGGCTCAGAAAACCTAAGCCACCTGCCTGAAGTTACACAGCTAATCAGCGGCAGAGCCCAGATTCAGTTCCAGACCTTACTGCCCGTCGCTGCTTTAGCTTTTGGAACAGAGAGGCAAACTCGCAGGCGGCTGTAGTCATTACTCTACGTACTGCAGGGCAAAGGAGAAAAGCAGAGTTGTGGGAGCAGCAGTGTGGACCAACACTCTCAGGATGATCCAAGAACTGTTTCTGAGCAGAACCGGCACTCCCCTGCCCACCACCCCACAGCACACCTGCAGAGCGGCTGGCCCAGCCTGGTGTCAACAGGGAGGGAGGGAGGGGCCAGGCATCGCTCGGTGGGTGGCTGGGAGGGGAGCCTGCTGTGTTAGTAAGTATATTCCGTGAATGGTAAGGGGAGGTGCTGGGGTACTGTGTGGTGCTGACAGAGTCCCTCACACCTGTCAGGGGTGAGGTCAGAAGCTCTGCAAACACACATGCTTCTCTCCCTATCTCCCTGCAGGACCCACAGTTCCCATCTTGCTGTCCCTTCTTCCCTTGGCGCAGAGATGGAGGTGAGAGAAGGCCATTTGGCCAGGCCCTCAGACAGCATCCACAAGCCGGCCAGGCCGGGCTGAGCTGGCCAGGGCCATGCTTGGGGTTGCTTCAGAGGCTCTGCAGGAAAGGGAAGTTAGAGGTCACTTAAGCAGTGTCAGTGTGAGCAAAGGGCCACAAAAAGAGCACAGTTCGCACTTGGGAAAACTAAGGCCAGGGAAGCTAAGTGACCTGCCCGCAGCCACATGGGGACCGGGTGGGAGTGTGGGTGCAGGACCAGAGCCCAGGCAAGGGCCTCCTGCAAGGAGGGCCTGAGAAAAGCAAAGAAAAGCAGCTGAAGAGCACAGGTCTGGGAATCACAGCGCCAGCTTGCAAAGGATGAAGGAAGGAGAAAAAGTCTCTGGGTCTCTGGCCAGGCCCTTGGGGGACACCATCCCAGGGACCAGTGGCCTTGTCTGGTGCTCCTGATCTGGGCCTGGGTGCTGGGGGCTCCATTTGGCAAGATCCTGCTCCCTGTGGCCGTCTTTGCGCCCCTTCTATGTGCCTGGGTTGTGGTATTAGGACTCCTGGCCTGACAGCGCGCTCCCCCCAGTACCCCCCAATTCCTTCTGTGGCCAGTAGAGGGCTTTGCACCAGACTGAAGATCTGTCCAAGGTCCTGAGGGAATGAAACACAACCCTTTCTCCAAGTTTCTAAGACATCAGTGCCAACCACCCCATCGCCCTCAAACTTGGCTGCAGAAATTCTGACCAGGAACCATGGGCGGCCTGCCGGAAGACCGCTTAGCATCAGACAGAGGCCCCGATGTGGGAAAGGCGGGTGGTGGACGTGCCTGCACTCACCTGGATGCGGTCGGGCACACCGGTGCTGTCCATGCGGCTGGCCACATTCACCGTATTGCCCCAGATGTCATACTGAGGCTTGCGGGCCCCGATCACCCCAGCCACCACGGGGCCGATATTGAGCCCTGCAGGGACAGAAGTCAGCATGCTCATCAGGGCTCAGGCCAACACCTGCCCTCGTTACCATTGCTCCCTCGACACCCAGCAGGTCCTCCCTGTGACTCGCCCTGAAGACACGCAGGCCGGAGGCTGTGTTTAACCCTGCGGCTCCCATTCTCTGCTCCTATTAAATGCCCGCTAACTCAAGACCACAGGAGCCTGTTCACAACCCACTGCTCCCGTGTCCTTGCCACCAGTCAACACTCAGCTCCTGCAAGTCCTTTGCCAGGACTGCCCTCTCCAAGCTTTCCAGGGACCTCTTGCGTCATCCAATTGCCTTTCCCTAATCATCACTCTCTCAGAGGCATTTAAGTTTTCACTGTCAATTCAGACTCAGCATACCAGAACTCGCCGTTTTCTTCCTCCTCACTCCTCTGCTTGCTTCAGGGGCACCCCCATCTTGTTCTTAGAACCTAGCTCCTGAACCACCAGTCTCTTCTCTCTCCAAGTAATCTGCCTCCCAGCATCTGAGACTGGGCAGTGACTAAGCTCCAGGAAGCAATGCTGCCACCGTCCACACGGGCTCTCTGTCTCGCCGCTAGCACATCTTCCCCCATCTATCCGCCTTCCCAGTCTTACCCCAGGCCACCCCGAGCAACCCGCCTCTGAGCCTTTGCTGTGCTGGTTCTCCACCTGAAGTGTGCTCCCTCCTTCTTTCCAGGAAATGCTTCCCTGATGCATCTGCCTCAACTGACATCTCTAGATATTTTCTGCCCTGGCTCCAAGCCCCAGGGCACCCCCTCCTATTATGGAAACTGTCTATCTCACACAGGGCCTTGTTAAGCCTCATCACTGCTTCAGTGTTTCTCGTATGTGAGAGGCAGGACCACAAATACAGCAGAAGCTCCGACATTGGCCCCTCGAGCCACTCAGTCAAAAACGTCCTCAATCCTCAAAACTCTTCCCTCCGAGACCCTCCTCTTTGGTCCTGTTGAGCCACATGCAACTTTGTATGCACCACGCTATTCCAAGGCTGGACCATCCATCTCAGTGGCCAAAAGCCAAGCTCCCCAGGGAAGACGTTCCGGAGTCTGGAGGCAGGGATCTGCCACACAAGGCTCCCGCCTGCCTGCCCAGCTGCGTGTCTACCTGCCACTCAATCCCCAGCCCCGGGCCAATGAAGGAGCTGAGGCAGCTCCCAAAAATACACACCGGGAGAAAAATGCAAATCAATGCAGGGAGAAAAGATGGAATGAAAGGAAAATAAGAATGGCGCCATCACGAAACCCAGAGTGGAGTTAACACAGCGTGCAGAGCAGTTAAAGCAGAGCCGCCGCTGGCTCTGGTCTGCGCTTTCTAGCAGCCAATGCAAACCGAAAACCTGGTCAAGTCCACCCACCCTGGGCCCACAGGCTGCAACAAGCCAGCTCATCCAGGGAGAGCCCAATTTACCACACTCCGGCCAGAACAAAGGTCTGCCAAGGACATTAATGGCGACAACACTGATTGTCTGTAATCCGATATATTGGTTTAATATGTTAATTTTGAGAATTGAAATACCAGTATTTTTGTTGGTGAACTGCTTTTTTTAAAATTTGAAATTGGAATCATTGATGGCTTGGGACATAGCCAGGGAGTTGATCATGCATTAAAAGTTTGAAAAGAACGAAGGTGGTTCTTTCAGAAAGCATTCTTTAGGTCCACAACCCTCAAGAGGAGGAAGAGAGCGACACTGGACAGAGTAGTTTCTACTGCAAAAATAACTCAGCCTTGGTAAGAGAGACGCTAGGGACAAAGCCAACTGGGGAAACACCTTGAACGTTATGGAGCAACGAATTCCGAGTGGCAGTTCTGAAATCATGTGGTGGACACAGTTGGGTGGAGCAATGAGGGAGCACCTGGGTTTCCACTGTACTATGCTTTCAACTCTTCTGTAGAGTTGAAAGTTGTCAGAATAAAAGGTTGGGGTCATAAAACAACAAAACTAAATATAAACAGGAAAGAAGTGATATAGGTTTTTGGTTCAAAGATTTCCTGCACAAGTAGAATATGGCCCTGACTGCTCTGACACTGAGCCAGGGCCTCTGCTCGGAACCCCCCGCTGTCTCTGCAGCAGCCCCCACCCTGCGACACCACGGCATCTAAGAAGCTCCTCGAGCCATCGCTGAGCGCCGAGCCCTTTGACAAAGAAGGAGCCCAGGGAAGACACGTGGACTTGACTTAACTCCCCACCCCCACCATTTCTCTCCCCATTTGTGTAGATTAGAAAAGCGTTCGTAGCACCTGGAAGCTTTTGCTCACATGCACACAGAAGCCACTGGAAATCAGTGATAACCCTGCTGACCCCTTTTGTTTTTTTAAGATTACTTTTTTAAAAAAGAGTTGAAATGTAATAATTTCATTGTCAATTTTACATGATTCTTTTCATGTTTAGTTTTTTAAAAAATTCACTTTATTTTGCTAACAATTTTGTAGAATATCTGTTCAATATTTTTATAAGTTTGCAAATGTAATGACTTGTACCATGTTTATACATTTTGCACTTATAATGTATAAGTATTTCATTTTACTGCTTTTCATTTTCACTGAATGAATTTAGAACGCTTTTAAAGAAAACACTGCCATTAAGTCAGTACTACTTGAAATAAATGGGACTGTCAAGCCTGTGAGGAAGCCACCAGAAGGTTCTGTGCCCTTGGCACACAGCATCCCCTATAAAGCCTTTCGGGCAAGCACAGCCTGGGTCCAACCAGGCCTCCCCGATGAGTGGGAGAGGTGTGAACTCAGGAAGAGGGTGTCCTACATGTGTCACCCGCACACCAACACACAGAGGAGGCACCTCCAGGCCCCAGGATGGTTCCGCTGTGAGGGGTGTGCATGCTGTCCCCCGTGGGCAGAAACGTGCTATAATGTGAGCCTCTGCCTGGACTGGGTCACGGATGTGCCATGGGGGATGGGGAGCCCCAGAGCCCTCAGCACTCCCTGGGGCCCGGCTCACCGATCTTCATCTGGAAGTTGTTGAAGGAGTGCTCGTTGATGTACTTCATCTGGTCCATCAGCTTCATGGCGAAGTCGGCCAGAGCCTTGATGTGGGTCTTGCCCACTTTGTCGTAGGTGGAGTCGTTGAGGCCCGAGGCGGCCATGTAGGTGCTGCCGATGGTCTTGATCTTTTCCAGCTGCTTGAACCGATCCTCGCTGATGATCTGGACGGAGGGCAAATCTGGGTCACCCCCAAGTCTGGGGCACTGAGGTCTGTGGCGACGTGCAGAGCAGGGCCCCTCGTGTCTCCCCAGGTCACACAGTGGGGTCGTCTCCATCACCAACTCAGTGTGAAGCCCAGAGGCTCCCCGACAGAACCAGGACTCCTCCAGCACTCGCTGCTGCAGAGTGGCTGTGGGCTACGAGCCCGCCTCCACGCCAAGAGCCCCTGGCGCCAGGTCACTAGTCACCTCTGGGTCTCTCGCTCCCAACAGGGGCTGGTGGCCATCTCCCCCTTCGCTGACTCACATCCCCATCCCGCCCAAGGAAACCTCCTCATCTTTGTCCAGCGGGACGCTCTTCTCCTGTCTCCAGGACCTGCTAGAGGCCCGTCCACACCCACTTCAGCCAACTCCAGTCACCCCACGGCCCAGGAGTCTCGTGGGCTGTTTCCGACACTGCCTGGTCCAGCTCCACCACCTGTCTCCTCCCTGCACTCCGTGCCCCGGGCTGAGTATTCCTGCTGGGGTCGTCCCCTCACACTCACTCCTCGGTGAGCTCCCAGAGTCGAGACTGCCCTATTGGGCACAGCATCCCCAGTGCCTGGCACACACTAGGTGCTCAACGAGAGTGTCGTAACTCAATGCAGAAATGCCTGTTTCTGCCTCCACTGTTCAGGGCCTTGCATCTGTGTCCTGCCTCCTCCCTGAGCCTGAGAACAATTCCTTCCTTGACTCTCTCAAAGCCCTGGTACAGACACTAGGCTGTCCAAGCCTGGGGCCCTGTCCAGCCCCAGATAGCACAGGAGGGTTGGTGGGTGACGGGGGAAGGCTGGCGAGTCAGCCAGGCAGGGCCTCGAGGGGGCAGCCGAGGGCACAGACTTCAAATGCAAACAGCCTGGGCTGAAACCCCAGCTCTGCCACTTACTAGCAGTGACCTTAAGCAAGACACTTGTCTGTGGGCCTCAGTTTCCCTGTCTGTAACATGGTAATAGAGGAGGAAACGTATGCCAGGTGCCTAGGACAGCGTCTGGAACACGGTCAGCTCCTGACATGACCATTCACATCTGGATGGGGAAAGGGGCCGTCACGTCTCCTTATCCCTCCCGCTCCAGGGACCCGAGGGCCCCCACCCGCCCACACCTCATCAAAGTCGGCGATGATCTCGTTGAGCAGCCGCAGGCACTCGACGCCCTCGTTGTTGGCCTCCAGCTCCACGTAGAACTCGGAGAAGTTGGCGATGGAGGCGAACATGACGGCCACGCACTCGCACGACTGATAGTACAGCTCATCGTTGCGCCGCTCGCGGGCCAGGAAGTGGGCGGCCACGTCCTTGGGCAGGATGTTGTGCAGCAGCCGGCGGTTGTAGGCCTGCAGCTCTTCCATCTCCTCCTTCTCCTCTGTGGCCTGAGACAGAGGACCCGGTCAGAGGAGGGGCAAGCGACGCGCCACTTAGAAAAAGACAGTGCGATCCGTGCAAATGCCAATGTGGGCCCAGCTTTCTCCCCTCCTCTCTGCTGCCTCTACTTGCAGCTTTTCTATAAAGAGCATCTATTACTTTGACCATCAGAAAAGAGAGATCTGTAAGACTCCGACCGCCCCCCGCCTGCCTCTTGGAAAGTGACACACGTGAGGTGTTGATCCTAGGGGAGGGAACCCGAGTGGAAACAGGTCCCAGAGCAAAAGCCAAAAGGATGCTGTCTGCTCAAGACTAGACCGAGGCCGCAGGCGAAAGGGATGGTCCAAAACCACCCCTCAGATGGCCCGCCTGCTACCCAAGTACTCCTCAACCTCCCATCTTCCTCTTATTATCAGGAAATACAATCAGAAAAGCAGTGTGATAAAGATCACATAAACAGACAGACCCCAGGGGAAACAGCTCAGAGCCCTGCCCTGTCTCCCTGGTTCCTAGGAGAGCAGACTCGCCCCAGGGCCAGATGCAGCCAGGTGGGGCCAGGAGGTGCAGGTGGCCCGAGGCGCCACCCAAGACATCACCGCTGACTTTGGCTCTCCCCTACTTTAGGTCCTGGCTCTGGGCAGTTGGGGTTTGTGGTCACTCACCCTTCAGGTTAAAGGGACAGTGGAGAGCGCTCAGGTCAAGGCCAATAGCGGCCCATGGGCTGAAGTGCAGAGGTGGTCACGCACCAAGGTGGGCAAGGAGCCATGTGACCAGGGCGTTCATGGGACACGGTGTTGGGCGGGAGGCTACAGGTGGAGTCTGCTGGCTTCCTCCCCTTCCATGACAAACACAATGGCCCCTTTAACTGGGAGTGACCGTCTTGGTAAGGCAGTAGGCAAGGTATCACTAGCAGGGACGTTTAAAAGATCTAGCCGGCCGGCTTGGGCCTTCCCTAACTCAGCGTAGAGGCCTTTCGATTCGGCTGCAAGTAGAACCTCTCAAAGGGCCAGGCAGGACTCCTTCTCAGGGCCCTGGCTCTCCTGGTGGGGGGGTGGCTCTCATGGGGAAGGAGCTGTCACACCCACTCAAGCCTGTAGGACCTGGGTCCAGCAGGGAAGGCAGAAAGCTCTGGGACCCTTAGGCTCAGAGGCCGAGTCTTGCCCCTGAGGTGAGAGGACCCACAGCCTGTCCCTCTTGGAACCACTGGAGACGTGGCCACAAGGATGGGGGTCATGCCTGAGGAAGCTCCTGTCAGGTGCCTAGAGGGTCCAGAGGGCATCGGCTACCTTCACCCTGGCTTTCCAGCTCAGGTGACCTTTGCTCCTGTGAGGTGGGACACTTTGACCACTCCCCTCCCCATAAATAAGGGCCACTTGCTCCCGGCTCTGGAACCAATGTGCCAGAGGGAGAAGTCTGGTGGGAATCCCTGTACTTCTCGCAGGCTGTCCGGTGGAGCTCTCCAGCTGGTCCATCTGCCTCTAAAAGTGCACCAGATTGCCCACAGTCCTGCTCCTACTGCCTGCTGAGACCACCTTCCTGGAGACGCAAGAGCACTCCAGCTCCTTCCATCAGCCTTGCAGGTGGCAGAAATGTGGCACATGCCCTTCCCAGAGAGCATCTGCCCAAAGTATCAGGCAGAATGGCGGTGGAGGTTGGAGGCAGGGACGCTGGGAGCACAGCTACTGCTGGGAACAGAGGCCAAGCCCCAGGGCCCTGGCCAGGTGCTGTGGCCACATCTGGGAACTCTGCCCCAAGACACGTTGGGCAGCTGCCAACACAGCCGGCTGCTTCTAGGGTTGGGCCCTGTCCAGGCAGGAAATCTCAGGGGTCCACAGCCTCTCTTTGGTCCTAGTAAGGTCAACACTGTGGGAGGGAGACAAGAGTGGGCTCTCCCGAGGACTGAGACCCAGTGGTTCGGCCAGGAGGGGGCCTGGCGGGTAAGGAAGGGTGTGTTCCTCGAGCAGGTGCGTCAGGGAAGTTAAGGACCCCAGGCTTCGCCACCTCCCTGTCAGCACCACACCCATCCACCACGACCATAGATCCAACAGCAAAATGGGCTGCTGGGCAAGACTGGAGGTGGGGCAACAGACCATCACGCCCCCATCCCAAGGACCTGCGTTCAGGCTTTTGTTCATTGGTATTTCTTTGATGTTGTCCACCTCCCAAAAGCCCTAGGGCAGGGTTGGAGATGGAGGGACGTGGAAGCATCATGAGCCTGTTGGAGACTTTGGTGGAGAGAGGGCGACAGACCTGGCAGGCAGGGACATGCTCAGCCACACACTCACACACACATGTGCACAGGCCTTCTTAACTGTTTTCAACACCGGGGAGGGGAGTCAGCTACTTCCCTTTCAATCTTCCCTTGCATCCCCGAGGAAGCAATCAGAGGAACGGGGGCCACATGGTGGCATGCCCAGCGTGCCAGCAAGCAGGGTGGTGAAGAGGGGAGAGGGCATGGTGGGCACAGAGGGGGGCTGGAGTGAGGGGCAGGCTGGTTCCATTGAGCAAATGAGTAAACATATGACAGATAATGGGAGCTGGGTTTCTCGCTGCCAGAGATGATATCTGTAAGCATGAAAGTGGGAAGGCTAGAAAGAAGCTTGAGGTGTTGCACTGGAAACGGAGGTACTGGTATGAACTCACGGTTTTAAGTGTCAACAAAGAGATACTAAAGTAGTATTGATACATACGCATGTGTGTACACACGTATGTTCATATAAACTTACAGATATTTCCTAGCCGTGTCCACGGAGAGGACCTACAACAGGGAGCACACCAAGGGCTCTGATCTCAGTTTCTACATGCCACCCTCCCCTAGCAAGAGTTGGCTCTCCGAAGAAGTCACTGATCCCTGGGCTGGAGCAGGAAAAGGACCTGGTGTGCCCCAGATATCTTCTTGTGCCAGAAAGTAAGAAAATGCTCAAAAAATGATGGAGATGTGTGTCAAAGAACACAGAAGCCAACCTAAGAAACATTGACCAAACTCAGGACAATTTGAGATTTAACATAAGTAATGAGAGGAGCAGATTAAAATCCACTGAATTTGATAGAAAACTGTGAGTTCATGTTGATATGGATAAATGAATGACTAAGTAAATAAGCTGGGGGAAGGAGTGCTCTTCCTTATAGCAGGATGCCAATTAACAAATGCAGGAGCGATGGACACAGGCCGCCACCACCCAGCAGGCAGGAGTCAGTAATGGATGCCGAGACTGGTGGATGGAGGTGTGCTGAGGATGAGAATATTGGTGAAATCTCGGAATATCTTTCCACAAAATGGTAACTGAACACAAGAGGAAGATGGGGAGCTGACAGTGGGGAAACCTGGCAGATGCCTACTTGAGCGGATGATCGAGGGTAAGATCACCAGGGGCGGGACACAGGGGTGATGCACCGAGAGGTACACAGTGTCATTTCCACGCTTTCCTCAAGAAAGCAGGGCATGAGTCTGGACCCAGGCCGAGGGTCATGGAATAGGGACCTCTTTAAGACTGGCAAGGACTGCGAGACAAGGAAGGACCGAGAAGACACGCCAGCACAATGCAGAGTCCGCCCGGGCAGGGTCCTGCAGCAGAGCGGGGACAGGTGGCAAACTTTGAACAGCTCTGTGGGTGGGACAGCGGTGCTGCCCAGTGACTTCCTGACTGGGAGGCCGCCTGGCGGTAATGCAGGGAGTGTCCTTGCCTTTGGAGGGGAGAGAGTGGAGAATTTAGGGGTGAGGGGGCATCCTATCAGAAGGGAGGGAGGGTGGGGGGGTGATGGAGCAAATGCAAGACAAGGGCTGGGGAACCTGGCGACGGGTGGTTGAAGAATCTGCTGGAGTTCTTCACACTGTTCTTGGAACTCTCCCATAGGTTTAAAATTATATTTTAAAACTTTCCCCAAAAAAGAAGATAAAAATGGAGGGCGGGGCTTGGGGTGTGGGGAAGGGGGAAGTCAGGAGGGAAAGATGAAGTGGAGATAAGCTGTTTCTGTGACCACATGTGGAGAGGAATGCGCTAATAATACAAGCGTCTCCCGGGGTTAAGACCCCACGGGGAGTACCAGAGAATGGCCAGGTCCCCACGCGTCCCCAAACCCTCGGCACAGCCGGGGGGCTGGTTTACAGCCCGGGATGCTGGAGGGAATGGGAATGACGAGGCACCTGTGCGGGGCTCAGACCGAGGGGACCGACCGGAGGAGGTCTTGTCCCTGTCCCCGTCACACCCCTTCCTGCAGCAGAGGAGAGACCCCACGGCTCTGGCTGTTTCGGGCCTGGGAGGTTCAGAGCCGGCTGAGAGCTGGGGCTTCAGCGTGCCGGTTCTTCTTCAGAACTCGCCTGGGGTTCGTCCAGGGCTTCACCTTCAAACTTGAGAGGCAGCAGGGGGCTGGGGGCTGACAGCAGGCTGCTGTCGCCTGGGCACAGGGGGAACAGGGCGTGGGGACAGTGGGCAAGCTTCAGGCCGCTCTGCTCAGCCCTGCCAGGCAGCTCAGTCTGACCCTGTGCACTAAGGAGCTGGACAAAGACACAGCGGGGTGAAGGGCGGCAGGTCACACAGAGAGGCAGAGGGGCAGGCCCCCTTTGCTGGCTTCCACCCCTTTCTCGAGGCCTTTGCTACACAACTGAGTCGCACAACAGCAACCATCTTGGGAGGGGCTCCTGGGGGATTTGGGGTGTATGCAAGCAGAGAAGCAGAGGGACATTGGCCCCAGGTCCCACAGAGTCTGGTCAGCCCTAGGAGAGAGCTGGGGCCCTCTGGAAGGTTCCCCAAAGGAGAGGGTGAGACAGAGCTGGGAGGAGGCTGGATCTCCGCAAGCTCCCTCCCATCCCAGAGCCTGTGTGGGGTATTCTGCATGGAAAGCATGTTTCCCCAACCTCAGGCATCCCCATGGGGACCTCAGTGGGAGCCCGAGCCAGACCTCATGCCCCAACACCCTACAGCAGGGGCAACGAGAGGGCCCCATCCTCACTCAGCATCCACCGAAAATCCAGGGCCTCCTGCCCCAGCCTCAAGACTTCAGTCTCAATGTTAAGAAGCAGTTCAGGATGGAGAGGTCTAAGCAGGCGCAGATGAGCTGGAGAAGCGGTACGCACAGAGGGCCCAGGCTGGTGCAAGCAGAGAGGTCGGGCTAAGCTACGCCCAGCAAGAAGCTGGGCTGGAATGACACGTCTGCCACCACCCACACGGGAGACCGGGCCTTCTCAGCTGAGTACCCTTGAGTGCCCTCCCCTGGACATTTTCAGGTGGTTCAGCAGGTGACAAAGGGCCAAGGGGCTGCTGCTAGCACCTGGAGCACCCTGTGCCTGGCCTGGCAGCATCCTCTCTCCAGATGGACACAATCAGGGCACAGGGCACAAAGCCTGGAGGGCAGAGTGCTGGCTGGGCTTCAGGTCAGAGCTGTGGACCCCCAGCACCCCATCGCCTCTGCCCCTGCCTGGGCCACCTCTCCCCAGGGCCAGGGCACAGCCACCTGGCTGGGCTTCCCATCAACAGTCCCTGGAGGAGCTGTCACGCCCACTTCTGGTCACACCCAGCCCTGCTCGAGAAGCCTCTCGTGCCGCTCCTGCACCAGGCCCACGACACGGGGCCTGTGCCTGACTCCTCTCCTCCACTCCTGCCACTCCGTCATCCCCCATCCTTCTGACTCTCTGCTGCCCCCACCACAAACTGGGTCTGTCCCTGCCTCCAGTCTGTCCCTGCCTCTGGAAGCACACACTTATTTGCGACTTAGCATATCTCCTGGGCCCATCGAAGTCCCAGCGCTGTCCAGGGTGGTTTTGTCTGGAATAAGCTCCGGGGTTTCTCCTCTTTGCGCCACAGCGCAGGGAGCAGATCCTGGGACGTGGGGCACCCGTCAGCTGGGACGGGGCCCAAGCAAGACACTTTGTCAGCGCAGGACTAGCCCAGCCCAGCCCAGGCGATGAGCTCACTCACTCACAAAACGTGAGGCCCAGGCGCCTCCCCCACCCCAGTTGCAGCCCCAGGGCCACCCACCTGCAGTTTCCAGAGGAAGTCAAGGCGGGCGGTGGACTCCACCTGCTGGGCGTGCAGGTACAGGGCCAGCACGAAGACTGAGATGATGATGGGCGTCACCACCTTCAGCGCCACCTTGGTGGCATGCTCAGGGCTGCAGGCGGGAGGGAGATGCCTGGCACCTCAGGGCAGGCTCCCAGGCCCCCTCAGGGCTTTTCTCTTCCTCCCACTACAGCTCCTCCTCCTCCTCACTCTCCTGCTCAAACTTTGCCTAAAGTGTGCCTCCTCCAGGAAGCGTTCCTGGCTGGCAGCTCCATCTCGGCCCCTATCTGCAGCTCAGCAGCCATTCCTCCTCTCCTGATGCCTTCTCTCCCCCGTCACAGAGCTTCCCTCTGTCACATCAAGGGATGAATGTGGCCCTTCTAAAAGGCAGTGTGGACATCCCAGGTTTTTCTCAGGGGGCTAGACGGGGCTATGGGTGCAGGAACAAGGGAGCCAGGCAGGCTATACTGACCGTTTCTGGGCAACCTTGGGTAAGTCTCTTAACCTCTCTGAACCTTAGTTTCCTTATTTGTAAAATGGGATAACAATACCCACACTGCAGGATTGTGGTTAAGAATTAAAGATACCACACACAAAATGCTTAGAACAGCACCTGACACAGCAGGAACTCCGAAACAGGTAGTTATTATTGTCTAATTATATTTCTGCTAACATTATTATGAATACTCAATGAAAGCAGGTATTCCAAACTCCGCTCCCTGTCCCAGCAAAGAGCCCAAACCATGAACAACGCACAGACTCCCTGCCCAGCAGCTGCCCTGACGCAGGGCCTAACCTCCAGAGGGAGAGAGGGCACCGGTTCCTGTGCCCCTGTGCCTGGGGGTCCCTGTGCCTGGGGTCTCCCACACCCTCCAGGGGAAAAACTTGAGGCCAAATACTTTAAGATGAGGCCTGTGGAACGACCTGTGGGTCTAAGAGCCTGGCCACCTAGTCTACAGAACATCTTGGGGGGTCTGCGGATCATAAAAGAAGAGGAAGGCATCTACCCAAGGCAGCCGCCTCGGTACCTGGGGAGGGGACGGCCTCCTGGCCCCCTCTAGCTTCCTCCCTCACCGCCCACCTCGCCACCTGGCCCCCCTCCCACCTGGGCACCACCCTTCTCTGCTGGGCCCTGGGCTGCTCCGTGACAGGGGCAGGGAGGGGCCGGATCAGAGAAAGCGCATGAACTCACCACTGGGAGGTCCCGTTGTTGTTGAACTCGCTGTGGACAACAGACGGGAGGGCATTCAGGGTCGCTCTACTGCTCCGCGGCCACCATGCTGGCTCCGCCCCCACATGCTCCTCCCTCCACATGCTCCGCCCCTCCACTCTGCTCCACCTTCCACATGCCCCACCCCTCCACATGCTCCTCCCTCCACATGCTCCGCCCCTCCACTCTGCTCCACCTTCCACATGCTCCACCTCTCCACATGCTCCGCCCTCCACATGCTCCGCCCCCCCACCCTGCTCTGCCCCAACGCCCACTCTGCCCTAAAGGCCCTGCTCTCTGCTGCCCCCCATGCCCAAGGCTGCTGCCCCCACTGTCCGTTCGCACCCCTCTGGATCCAAGGACACTGTGAGGATGGGAAGCTTGCAGGAAGCCCAGCCCAACTAGCATCTGGTCACCATGACCATGAATCCCTGGCCCTTCCCCGGGACCATGGGAAGTAAGGACGGGTCCCCCCACATCCAACTGAGGGAAGCCTGCCCTCCTCCACTTCCAGCCCTTGGCTGCCACCAGAGGAGGAGAAACACCACCCTGGCAATGTCCGTGGGGTACCCACTAGCCTAATGTGCCCCCAGCCTCACAACGTGGCTAGTGCGAGCTAAAATGCCCAGTAAGCATAAAACAGATACTAGGTTTTAAAGAATTCGTGTGGGACAAAATGTAAAATATTTCACTAACAATTTTATACCCATTACATATTAAAATAACACTGTAGATATACTGGTTAAATGAAACTATTATTTAAATTAATTGCATGTTTTGCCTTTTTAATATAGCTACCAGAAAATTCTAAATTACATAAGCAGCTTGCATTATTTACCTACTGGATGGTGCTGCCCTTGAGCTAAACCAGGGTCTCCAGACCCAGAAGTGACCTCCGTTCTCTGCCGCCCCTTCAGCAGGAGGAGGGGAGCCTGGTGTGTATTGGGGTGGACGGTGATGGGAAGAAAAGGGTACCACATATGGGCACTTTACATACAATTTACCACTATGGGTGTTATTATTCCCATGTTACTGGGGAAAAAATAATGAGGTTCAGGAAAAATAGCTAAATGTGTGTCTGAGGCTGAGATTCAAACTCATTTTGACCCAAAGCCAGAGCTCTTTCCCCCCACGGAACAAGCTCCCTTGGAAATCTGACATCTGTTGCTATATGACCAGGCTGACTGCCAGCCAGATAGCCTGGGGCACGACCCGCATGCCTGCCACCTCCTGGCTGAGGGACTCAACCACTCACCATCACAGCCAGGAGCCTTTGAGCAGTACACAAACTACCCAACCTTCCCTGGTGGTCATGTCTACTTTGTTGGGTTGTTGTGAGGATGAAAAGGGATAATGTATGTCCAAGTGCCTGGGACAGAGCCCATGAACAACAAAGGCTGTTCCTCTTTCCCATAGACCTTGCTATCCAGCTTGAACCTTGACCCCTCTGGGCCTGAGGAGCCACAGGCAGTTAGTTAGATGAAAATAGCTCATCAGAGGCTGCCCTGAACCAGTGAGGAAAACTTCACTGGCGCCTGAGGTCAGGAATGGGTAGGAAACCAGAGGCAGAAGGACAGTGGGACCTAGTCACTCTGGGGCCATCCCCAAACACTGAGAAAGGGAGGGAGGGAAAGAAACAGGACACTGTGGTGCTCTGCCCAGGTGGTCAGAGCTGGTGAGCAACAGCACACATCCCTTGCCAGCCCCCTGCAGCCCAGGACCCCGCCTCCTGCTCTTCCCGCCTCTCTGCAATGCCCCAGACCCCATGCGGGGCATGAGGGGGTGCCACCTACATGGCGTTGGCGGTGACCAGCAGGTCGGCATTGTCAAAGAGTGTGACACCGGGCACCTCGACGATGAGCACGTAGATGAGCTCGATGGCCAGCATGAGCACCAGCTTCCCGATGCAGCTGATCTGCAGGAACACGGAGCAGGCCAGCAGGCTGAGCAGCACGCTGTAGGTGAAGTACTGCGGAAAGGAAAGAAGGGGGACAGCCGCCTCAGCACTCGGCCCTGCCTGCCCTGGGGCCCAGGCCCACCCCCAGCTCCACCCCCAGCCTCCCACCAGCCGGAGGTAAAGCCTGGTCTGGGATGTTTGTTGAGATGCCATGTGAAGGGCCCTGGTTAGGAACCAGGAGATGGGGGGGGGGGTGTCTGGCCTGAGTTTGGCCAGTATGGCGGTAGAGCCCAATGGTTAGAGCAGGGCTCCAGGCTCAGGCCGACTTGAGTTTCATTGTTGATTGATTATGGATATGGGCCATTTACTCAACCTCTCTAAGCCTCAGTTTCCCCATCTGCAAACCCTTCCATCTCATGGGCTCACTGTGACGACTACATGAGATGAAGCCACTTGGCACAGTGCCCTCAATAACTGTGGGCAGCTCAAGCTCCAGCCCCTGACCCGCCACTTTCACCCTAAAGTCCTGAAAACTGAAAGCATTTACATAACAGATGCGGTGGCATCAGTTATGACCTGAACCGACCTTATTTGGTGGCAACAGAACCAAGTGATATAACATTAATGACATCTTTATCCTGCCCCCTGTGACTATTCATACGTTTTGCTGCAGAAATGTTACTGTGCTTCATTATCCAGGTGCTGCCCCGACTCCACTCGGGGTGGGAGGCAACCTTATCAAACCTGAAAAATTCCAAAGTCCAAAATACATCTGACCTGGAAGTTTCCAGATGTGGGATTGAGGCCCCATATGACTTACTCTGGGGAAGTCCCTTCCGGTTTCTGAGCCTCAGTTTCTTTCTCAGAAGCCTGCAGGGCTGAGCCAGGTGGCCTCACCAGCCCCGTTCTGTTTCATGTACGCTGACGCTAATCCTAGACACGTCAGCATCTATTACGGTGTTCCTTCTTTTAAATTTAGCATCATTATCTCTGAGTTGGCCATCAGGCTCTTAACTATTCTCTGCCTCTGTCCTGGGCTGGGGGCCAAATGGCACTGGTTGGCAGTGGGGGCAGCCCCCAGGTGGGACCTTCTGCCTCCCCAGGCCCTCAGGAACCCACAGAGGGACTGCAGAGGACCCCGTGATCGGAAAGGGGAGGGAGCAGCCTCAAGTCACCCTCAGGAACAGGGGCAGAGGAAGGAGTGGGGGGGCACACCCACATAATACAGCCCCAAAGATAATAATATCGTCCTTGGGGGATGGGGAGGGGGCCCCACGAGCCAGCCTGCATTCCCACGTAGACCCTGAGCCCAGACAACTGGGGCCAAGGCCTAATGCTGGGGTCCCCCAAGAGCCTTGGGGCCGGTGAGGACCTGGGGAATCAGAACGACACCGTGGGGTGGGGTCAGCCCGAGAGCTCTGAGGCCAGCAGGGCCTGAAACTGGCCAGGCTTGTGAGGGACCCTAAAGGCTGGGACCAACCACCTCCCACAAATGAGGAGCTAGAACAGGCTCCGCTGCTGCTCTCTTCCCCGACCCTCGCCTCCGGAGGAGCGACCGCCAAGACCACAGCCAGCCTCTGCTCCTCAGCAGGCAGCCCTGGGCAGAGCCCCTGCGGGCCCAGCTGGTGTGAGAGGGAACAGAGGGGAGCGCTGGGCTGCACAGAGGGGAGGGGACAGGATGCTGGGCCTGCAGGGGTGCGGGGGGTGGGGGGGGGATGTGCTGGTCTAGGTGAGCATGGGCGGCCCGACTCCTCACTGAGTTCCCTCCCCATGTGTACAGGGGACACGGATCAGTCCCCTTCCAGGGAGGGGGGAGGCCAGCACTGGGACAGCCCAGGGGCCCTCACTGCCCTTCTGGAGCCTTGTTGCAAGTCATGGGCGCTTTGGGAATCGGATGAAGGCATGGATCCTCTCCCCAGCAAAGAGCTAAAAGGCCATCATCTTACGGGGTTCCTGTGACCCTGGCAGGGAGCTAGGGTGTGGGGCCCACCCAGTGCCTGGAGCAACACCCTGGGCTGGGGGCCTGGCCCTGTGGCTCACTGCTCCCTGAGGAGACCAGCAAGGTAGATGAAGCACCTCGCATACTACAGGCGCTTAATACGTGCTGCTGTCTAAGGGTTCTCGGTGCTATTTTTTAAACCCAATCACCTGTAGGTACACAATTCTTTTGGGGGTGATGAAAATGTTCTAAATTTAGATTATGATGATGGCTGCACACATGTGTGCGTATACTAACACACGTGTGTGCATAGACTAAAAGCCACTGAGATGCACAGTTCGAGTGGGTGAAGCCGATGGTGCACTGGTTTAGGATCGGCTTCCCTTTGCTCCGCTCTGCTCTCTGACCCACAGCAGGGGCCTCAGGCAAGTCCTCCTGTGGCAGCAGCAGCTCTGCTCCGAAGCTGTGGGTCCAGAAACAGCTCTGCTCTCAGGTTAAGAGCTCCAACTCTGGAGCCAGATGACCTGGCTGGGAGCTCTGGCTCTGCTGCTTACTTGCTCTGTGACCTTGGGCAAGTTACTTAACCTCTCTGTGCCTCAGTATCATCTCTATAAAGGGGATAATAACAGTATCTATGTCATAGGGTTGTTGTGAGGACAAATGAGTAAACGTATGTAAGCACTTAGCACAGCGCCTGGCACATGGTAGGACTACATAAACAATAGCTATGCTATTATTACTGTTACTGTTATATTGAGGAGGTTGGCCTTGGTCACTGGTGGAGAGAGATTGGGGGAAGGAGGTCTCTGGATGGCAGTGAGCTCGAGGGCGGCCAACCGTCTCTCAGGGCAGCCAAGGGCAGGGGCGGGAGAGGGTCTCCATGTGCCCCCAGCCCCTCCCCGCCCAGTACCTCGGGGAAGTTGCAGTTGGGCCAGGGGCTGCCGCAGAAGCCCTGTTCATCGCCCAGGCTGTAGTTGACGGCGGACTCCACCACGTGGCACGCGTTGACCTGGCTGGCACTGATGTTGTGCTCCTCCGCCAGGCAGCTGAACAGGTCCCTGGAGTTGCACATGAACTGGGGGGGCCGGGGCGGGTCAGCCCGGGGGCCAGGGCAGGGCAGCCCATCCCACAGGGCAGCGGGCGCCCGCCCACCCTCTGTCTCGAGTGCAGCCTGACACGGACCGGGGACAGGAGAGGAGCCTGGGCGAGGCTGAGGGCTGAGCGAGGTTTGCCCAGCTGCCCAGGGTGGGGCTCGGAAACCTTCCGGGGGCACTTCTGAGGCTTTCTGGCTCACCAGCTTTGAGAGGGAGGAACTAAAAGCCTGTGTCAGAGGCTTTAGGAGTCAAATCTGACCCCAGACCCGAGGTGAGACAGGAGTAAGAATTTCTGAGGAGGGAGAACTCGAGAGTCTGGGGGGACCTCCCCTCCCAGCCTACACTTGTGGGGTACAGGGCTCCAGCAGGTGTGACCCAACGGGGCAGGGGAGGTCCTGGGAAGGTGGGGCCGCGCACCATGTTGACAAAAGCCGACAGGAACACCAGGATGATGCTGAACACCCCGAGCAGGGTGCTGTTCATCTTGGACCGCACGATTTTCCTGGACAGGGTCTGCAGGGGCACCGGGAAGAGCTGTCCCGAAGAGGGAGGGAGAGAGAGACAACAGAATTCAGTGGAGACTCTCCAAACAGCCCCGGAACCAGCCCTTCCCTCCACCTTCGCCTCTCTCCAGCACAACCCCAGGGGCCTTCCCGCACGCCCTCCCGGTGGGCAAGCTTCCAGCCTTGCTCCACTGCACCATTACTTCCAGGCCAACAGCAGCACAGACTCAGCAGCCGGCCAGGAGTGGGTCTCCCTGGGGAGCTCACAGCTGAGAGAGGCAGGACAAAAGGAAAGATGCTCTTTTGACCCCAACATGGAAGCAGAGGAAAAAGCACATGCACCCGTTTTGTGAATTTTAGGCGTTACAATCAGGGAGGGGCGGTAGATGGCAGTTGAGGAGGCGTGGAGGGGCCCAGAACTTTCCCAGGGAGGGTCGGAAGGCTTCCTGGGAGAAGAAGTAGGGAGCAGTGGGTCTGCAGATTCAGAGAGGCCCTGGTGTCAGGAGGAAGGGGATGGCTTGTGAGAAGGGGGCGGAGAAGCATGCGGGCAGGAGGGTGGGCCGTGGACAAGTAGAATTAAGTGAGCCTTTTTTCAGCAGGACGCTCCAGGTCTGCCTTCCCCTCACCTAACCCTCCCTAGATTTCCTTCAACTAGACAAACCGTATGTTCACCCAAAGACCCACTGCAGTTTGGCAATTAAATGATTGGGCTCCACCAAGTCTGACGCAGCTGGCCTGGCCCACCATGTCCTCCTCATCTCCCAAGTGACCCAGGCTACGAAAGAAGGTGGCAGACCCAGAGGAGCACAGCAGTAGATGTGGGCTTCCCCTGCCCCACCCACCTCAGTGCCTCCTGGTGAGGCTCATCTGCTGCAAACATGCCAGGTGTCCCACGGAAGCCTCCAAGGCCAGAGGAGGATGGAGGAAAAAAGCACTGGACTAGGAGCTTGGAGGACTGAGTTCTAGGTGTGGCTTTTCCTGTGTGACCCTGAGCAAGTCATATCCCCTCTCTGAAGGCTTCCTATCTGTAGGACTAGTGGGGCCCTGCACATTCTGGCCGGGTGTGCGAGACTACGAGGCTTATCCATCCTCTGATACTAAGAGCTTCTGTACTAGTCACACAAACAACTAAGTAGGCAATGAGACACAACGTGACCACCATTGACCGCTCAATCCCAGTGTGGAGGGGACTGGCTCATATGCTACAATGTTTTCTGCTAGCAAGTGCAGGGCCCTTGGTCAGTGTTCTTCAGCTGTGACCCAAACACACTACAGGCAGGACGTCCACATGGGCCCGTCACATCATCCCCATGGGACTTTAGGGAACCAACACAAATATGCCGATGCTCGTGCTGTTTGCTGTGCCGTAAGTAGTAACGTCTTTTGTCTCTGACCCAGGAGTCTTATGTCTCCTGCCAGCATCCAAGAAAGAGCAATAGGCTAACTTATTAGTTTATAAGTAATAAGGCCAAATCTCAGACCCTTCACAGTTCTTGACACCAAGTAAGTGCCCTGCTCACACCTTGTTCTTGGGCTTTGGGCTGGGTGTGCATGTAGGGAAGCAATATATCTTTTCCACCCCAGATCCTCCTCCACCCTTCCAGTAAGGCCACTCCTATTCAGCAGAGGGAAGGAGAGACCACAGGAAAGATGCAGCCGTGTCAGAAGCCCGGCAGGCATCAGGCTATAGGCTGAGCAGTGAAGACCCTGGACTCCCTGTTTCCAGCAGAGGTGCCCCCCAGGTGTGTTCATATATCATCAAGTCTGTGGCATTATCCTGAAAAACCACTTCCTTTTGGGGTAATGAAGGAGACACTCTGACTCAACCCATTTACACGGTAGAAGGAAAGATGTGTGTGATCTTGAGAGCATAAACTTGGATTAAAATCCTGCTTAACAGACACAGACATCAACAGAATAGAGACTGAGTCCAGAGACAAACCCTTACATTTATGATCAATTGATTTGGACAAGGTTGCCAAGACAAATCAAATTAGTCTTTTCAACAAATGTCGCTGAGACAACTGGATACCCGCATGCAAAAGAATGAAGTTGGATCCCTACCTCACACCATATACAAAAATTAACTCAAAATGAATCAGAGACCTAAATGCAAGAGCTAAAACTATAAAACTCTTAGAAGAAAACATACAAGTAAATCTTTGTGACTTTGGGTTAGGCAATGGTTTCTTAGATATGACACCAAAAACAAAAGCAAAAAAGAAAAAATATATAAGTTGAATTCTAGCAAAATATTAAAATTTTGTGCTTCAAATAATACCATCAAGAAAGCAAAAAAGGTGTTGGTGAAGATGTGGGGAAACTGGAAACTTTGCGCACTCCTGATGGGCATGTAAAATGATACAGCTATTGTAAAAATGGTAGGACGTTCTTCAAAAAATTAAACATAGAATTACCATATGATATAGCAGTTCCACTTCTGGGTATATACTCAAAAGAACAGAAAGCAAGGGCTTGTACAGATATTTGTACACTCACGTTCACAGCAGCATTATTCACAATAGCCAAAAGGAAGAAACCCAAGTGTCCATCTATAGATGAATGGATAAACAAAATGTGGTACATACATACAATGGAATATTATTCTGCCTTAAAAAGGAAGGAAATTCTGACACACACTACAACATGGAAGAACCTTAACGACATTATGTTAAGTGAAAGAAGCCAGTCACAAAAGGACAAATACCATATGATTCCACTTATATGAGGTGCCTAGAGTAGTCAAATTCATAGAGACAGAAAGCAGAATGATGATTGCCAGGAGCAAGGTTGGTATGGGGAGTTATTGTTTAATGAGTGTAAAGTTTCAGTTCGGGAAGATAAAAAGTTGTGGAGATGGATGGTGGTCATTGCTGCGTGACAATGTGATGGTACCTAATGCCACTGAACTGAACACTTAAAAATGGTTAAAATGGAAAAATTTATATTACGTATATTTTACCACAATAAAAAAATGATTATAAAAAAAGAAAGTGAAAAGTCAACTCACAGAATGGAAGAAAATTGTTGCAGACCATATATCTAATAAGGGTCTTATAACAAGAATATACAAAGAACTCTTACAACTCAATAATAAGACAAATAACCCAATTTAAAAATGGGCAAATGATTTAAATGGACGTTTCTCCAAAGAATCTATATAAATGGTCAATAAGCACATGAAAAGATGTTTAACATCATTAGCCATCAGGGAAATGCAAATCAAAAACACAAAAAGCACTTCACACCCACTAGGATGGTTATAATTAAAAAGTCAGATAATAACAAGTGTTGGTGAGGACGGAGAGAAGATGGAACCCTCAAACACTGCTGGTAAGAATGTAAAGGTGAATTTTATGGCATGTGAATGATATCTCAATAAAGTGCTCATTAAAAAATCTTGCTCACGGGGCTGACCCAGTGGTGTAGTGGTTAAGTTCGTGCACTCCGCTTTGGTGCCCAGGGATTCGGGAGTTCGATCCCAGGCACAGACCTAGACACCACTCATCCAGCCATGCTGTGGTGGCATCCCACATACAAAGTGGAGGAAGATTGGCACAGATGTTAGCTCAGAGCCAATGCTCCTCCAGCAGAAAGAGGAAGATTAGCAACAGATGTTAGCTCAGGGCCGATCTTCCTCTCCAAAGAAATTTTAAAATAAAAAATCTTGCTCGGCCCCTCACTAGCTGTGTGATCCTGGGGAAGTCCCTGCTGGGCTCTGAGCCTCAGTTTCCTTCTTGGCAAACAGGGACTATCTACCTCCCAGGGTGGCTCTGAAGACTCCATGAAATGATGCATTTGAAGTGCTCTGTAAACTGTTATATTCAACAGACAATTTAGTTAATATTAGCAGTTTAAAGAGCTATGTTGCCGATAAGAATAAAAGTCCTTGTCTCCCATGAAAGGAATTTTTGGTTTCACAGCTGGAGAAAGTGTTTCGGCACCACCATGGCATCTTACTCTGAAATGGTAGACAGATGGTTTCTCATCTGCCTGCTTAAAGTGTTGCCATTCCACTCTCGTCCCACCAAGTTATTTAAATTGTCTCGGTTCCTATCACCCTGTCCATCAATTGAAGGGCTGCCTTCACTACCCGGCAAACGCCAGTGTATGACTGATTAGGCAAAAGTTATTAGCAGATGCTAAAACTCTATAGAAGGCGGTTGGGGATCACGATAGGCACACAGGCTTCCTGGTGAACCTGGGATCAGCAGCCCCACAGGGCCCAGAAGAACTGCAGGTCATTTAAAAACAAATTCAACCTGGAAAGTAACTGTCACACCTACTCACTGATTAACTCTTAATGCATTGCTTTGCTACAAGCCAGTTTCTCTTGTGGCTCTTGAAAAAGATCCACTCTTGACTTTAAAACCTCAGCAGGAACCCAGGAATGGCTGCTTTTTTGAACTCTCCAGAAGATTTGACATCCTGCCCTGGTAACGGTTCATAGAGCAGGTCATCTCCTGTAATCAAACAGTTCACCTGTATGTTGACCCTAAATCGCACCTTCAGGAACCCCAGTGTGGATGACGAAACTCTCCACCGGGGGCTGAGCCTCCTCACGGGGCTGCCCTGCAGATCCTGAGGGCATTTCTACGGCAGGATAATCGTGTCTGTGCAAACCAATTGCTCAATGCCTGCTGACAGGCAGAGCTCAGAAAAAGAATCGATTTTAAAAAAATAAGTTCCAAACCAGTACATTCCCAGTCTGATTAATTCAAATCAATTCAACAAGAAAAACGGGAGTGGGGTCATAATCAATAAACCACAACTGGGACGAGGGACAGTTCTGATCCTGGCCCCTCTGAAATCTCCAGGGAAATTGATGACCTCCCTGGTGCCCTGGTTCCCTGTCTGTGATGTGGGGCCAGAGTATTACTGAGATGAAAGAAGGTGACGAAATCTCACAGCAAAAAGTTTAAGAAAACAGCCTTTTGGACAAGGAGCTAATAAAATCAGCAATAGCTCCTACTTTGGAAAAACATTTTGAAAGATATGAAAACTTCAGCGGCCAAACAAGGCAGGCAGAAG